TGAGGAAAAGCTCTCTGAGCAGATCAAGAATCTTGAAAAAGGTGAAGCTTTTCTTGAACCTGCAGAATTTGAAGTGATGAAAATCAGCAAAGATTATGTGTGTCCAATATGCTTCAAGGGTTTCCAATCAGGGCAAGCTTTGGGTGGTCACAAGAGAGCACATTACACTGGAGTCAACACTGCTGAAGAAATGAAGGTGAAAAGGGAGTTGAACTTTTCTGATGATAATATTCATAACAGTCTTGATCTGAATCTCCTCCCATCTATGGTGGAAAGGGTGTGGTGTCTTGGGAATGAGCTGCTGATCTCAACTAGTAATCTCTAGTTTTAGAATCATACACAGATTTTAAGGTTTCATAACTGTACATAATGATCTGATTTCTTTCTGTTTTCACCTCTCTCATTCTGTACATCTATGATAGCTCTTCATCACAATGCCTTATAAGCAAATGTACAGTTTAGGCTGCCTTTAGTTTCTGCTGTGATTCATTGTCATGTTCTTGCTGGATGGTCAAACTGGTTCTGTAAGTTTCTGCGCATATGGTAAGCAATTTACCCTTTTTGGAGCAACATAAATTCATTTTTAAGAAGCTACTCTGTATAAACTTTATGCCATCCTGTGATGGGAAGACAAATACCTTACGCCATCAATGCAGTTTACAAATGCTTACTGTTGTCTTATCCATTTATGCAGTTTTACTGTTTTAGTTTTGTTCAAATTATTACATTCAAATTTGTAAGATGCATTTAGATGTGTCCCAAAATATGAACTATTTTCCTAGTTTGAATTTTATTAATTTCATACTCTTACCTGGGCTGTGTTGTGACTATTTCATCTCGTTTGAGATCAAATTCAATAAATCTATACAATTGCTTCACATATCATCTTTTTTGGGCGAAGATGTGAAGTGGGCTGAATAAAAAGAGTTAATCAACTAATATGAATGGTTACAATTTTTGACGTTGCATTTCAGCCTTCAAATTATTACAACTCTCCCATTATACAAAATGTAGCTTGTTTTTTATTTATTAAAACATGGTCTGTCATAACTTTATAATTTTCATCTATTTTACGCGTATAGTCAAAGAATCTTACATTTTGACATAGACATGTAATATAGTTTGATAGACCATGCAATGCACGTGCCGGTTACCTTGTACTGAAGTAAAAGAGTGTGACATTACTGATGGCTCCATCCAAGTCAAAGAGGTGTATCCTTTTTTTAATTCATTATTATAAAAAGTAACAAAAGGTGTGAACTAAATGTGAGAAGAAACCTAGAAAGACTGAGAGCACTGAAGTGATAAAACGATTGTTATGATTTAAAAGTTGAACTTTGGGAGATTGGTAAAGACAAATAACTTGTACTAAATGAGTATTTATACTTGACTACAAGTCTGAGCAACTACTCCCATGATAGGTGTTAATTACGGAGTATCTTTAAGTCTCGAACATGATAAACAAGTACAAAAATAAATGTTGTCTATTTTCTAAGAATTTTTCCGTTTTTTCTCAACTTAGGAAACATGAGGCCTTATATGTTGGATCTTGGAATAGTTGACTATCTTCATTCAAAATTATTGTAGGCTCTAAAGTTGGTTTTGTCGGGTAGGAAACATTAATTAGTGCTCTAATTATATATTGAGTAATTCTTGGTGTATAGTATACACGTTTGGTTGTGCACATCAGTGTGTACGCGCTCAAATCATCTGTTTGTTCTTCCTTTTTAACTAATAGACTATGTGAATAGACAATTAGTATGAACATAATAAAGTTGCTACATTTATTATCTTTAATTGGTTCTCCTATTTGAGTATTTGGTTGCAAAATAGGCCATAATAATGTATGTGTATTGAACGTTATTTATTCAGCTCACTGAGACATAAAATCAACACATTTTCAACGGAAATGGTTATTTTTTTGCAAAACGCCAAGTCCCAAAAGTGGCCATAAATTATACGCCAGCATCACGTGCCTAAGAGCATCTCCAATGCTCTACTTTCAAAAGGAAGTAAATTTTGCCAAATGTCAATAAAATAGAGTACTGTGAATCCATGTCATGTACAAATCAAAAGAGAGAGATAAAAGGCTCCCAATGCATAATGTTAATAGCTTGAAATAACCACACGTCACTTATTAATTATTACTAAATAAAAATAGAAAATATTTCATAAAAATTGTAAAAAGAATTGAAAGAATAGGATAAAGCCAAACACGGTTGATAAAGAAATTAAAATAAAATAGTTGTAGACAAATTCATCTACAACAATAATGCATAAAATGAAGAGAAAAATTGGTCACAATAAAAATTATGCAAGTAAGAATTACAGAATAGAAAATCTAAATTCAAATTGTATGTGTATATATATATACTCGCAAGAATGATCCTGTCCGAACGTTCGGACAGGATTCTCCGTCCGAACATCCCCGTTTGGGGCCCTTCCCGGTGGAATTTTTTGATGAATTTTTTTGAGCATGTTCCTCATCAAGTCTAGTTTGTACATACCAAATTTCAGCTCAAAATTCGATCGGGAAGACATTCAGATAATTTTTTGAAGTTGACTGCGTTTTTATATGTATATTTTGACGCAGTCAACTTCAAAAAATGATTTGAATGCCTTCCCGGTCGAATTTTGAGCTGAAATTTGGTATGGACAAACTAGACTTGATGAGGAACATGCTTCAAAAAATGTATCAATAAATTCCACCGGGAAGGGCCCCAAACGTCCATGTTCGGACGGTGTTCGGACCAGGAATGTTCGGACCTGAACATTCCTCTATATACTCGTATATATATTTGTATGCGTTACGTGTACTTTTGGGAACCATTTTCACTCCACTATGGGTAAACAAAATTGCTTTGTGTACACACTTTTGTACACACTAATACACACTATAAAAGAGTATTTTTTTTTTACCTTCTTTCCTTTTACCCTTTCTCTTCTCATTCTCCCCCCAAACTCAACTCCCTTCCTGTGCGGCGGTTGTACCCTCCTCTCTCTCGCACGAGTCTATCTTCCCTCTTCTCCCTTTCCTTTTCCAATTTCTTTTCTTCTCGTTGGTTTCTTTTCCTTCTAATTTTACAGATCTCATATGTCTTCTTTCTTGGTGGATTCTCTTATAATTTTCTACAGGTGGCAGCCGCAGGATGATCTATGAGCAATTCGACCCTTTCGGCCACCAACAAACCAAGCTCCTCAAACTTAACTCATTATACAACTTGCTTTTCTTCTTTTTGTTATGTAAAATTAGTTTTTGATTGCTTTTTTTGATTGGAATTGTATATTTTAGTTATGTTATAATGAATTTTGTTTGGCTAGTTTGCTTCACTGTTCGTATTGATACCTAATTCTCGAGGTACACAGTTCTTGATACCTAATGCTCAAGAATTGACTATTTTATCATGCTCACATTGTGTTTGATAAAATATTCCAATGAAGAACATTAAGGACATATGCAGTAAAAGGTGATCTCATAAGGCTTTTCTCATCTCGTGTTCCTCTTTTTTATGGTAAGTTTGATACATGTTTTCTTGTGATGAATGAGTAATATGTAAGTGAGAGTTTTGATGATTAATACAAAAAAGAAGTAATTCCAAAAAAAAGTTTGCAATTCCATATATGCTTTTGAATATTTGTTAAAACACATATAACTTGTGAGTTTTATGATATATATAAAATAGATTCATTTCACTTGGTGCTCCAGGGAGTGGAAGAGCTTGCTGATGCCGTGAAAGTCACCATGGGTCCAAAGGGATGCAATGTTGTGATTGAACAAAGTTGTGGTGCACCAAAGTTACAAAAGATGGTGTTATTGATGCAGAAAGTGTAGAGTTTAATCTTATATGTAATTTGTATGGAACCTTATTAGATTTGTTATACTATTATGTAATTTGCATTGAACTTTATTAGATTTGGAGAAAAGGAATGAGAATTATTATGAAAATAAATACGATTTTGTGAGACAATATGAACAAGCACACAGACAACTAGTGTGTACGCACGAATAAAATAAATGAATACATAGATAATGTTTTAACCATGCACAAACAATATAAACGAAGACATAGACTATAAAATAAATAAATGAACACACAGACAACAATAATTGTTTATGCACAGATAACTTTAACCACACACAGACAATATAAATGAATACATAAATGATATTTAGACTATACAGACAAAATAAATGAACACACAAACAACAGTTTTTGTTTACGCACAGACAAAATAAACAAACACACAGACAATGTTTTAATCACACACATACAATGTAATTGAAACCTAGACAATGCTTCTAATGTGCACAGACAAACTAAGCAAACACACAGACAATGATTCAAACACGCACAGATAATAAAATTGGAACACAAACGATTCATGACCACACCGAAGCAATTGCCGGTCGTGTTTTTTTATTTTAACTGTGCATATTCCAAGCATCGTTCATGTCTTCGTTTATACTGTCTGTGTGTTCATTTATTTTGTCTGTGCATAAATATAATTATTATTGTGTGTTCATTTATTTTGTTTGTGTATAAACAATAATTGTCTATGCGTTCATTTACATTGTTTGGGCGTGAAAAAATTGTCTGTATTTTCATAATGTAATAAAGGAGTGTTTGGGGTTGCTTAAAAAAAGCACTTTTCAGCTTTTGGCTTAAAAAAAGTTGAAAAGAGTGTTTTCAAATGACAGCTTCTACTTAAATTAATCACTTAAAAGCTAAAAGCTGGAAGCAGGTAGAAGGGTGCTTTAAACTGCTTCTCACTTTTTCTATAACACAAAAAGTACTTATTTTACCAAACACTACCAACTTTTACTTTTTCAGAATCACTTTTTTCTCAAACACTACCAACTTTTACTATTAATCACTTTTCCCAAAATCACTTTAAAAAATCACTTTTTTAAAGTTGAAGCAATTGCAAACACTCCCTGAAAGGGAAGTAGACATGAATTCATATTTTAATTTGGGATTAGTCACTTTGTAAAATTAATGTCCTCATACATATATTCTGTTACAATGAGCACCAATATTTTCTAATCAACTTAGAAGCCACACTTAAAACGTACGAGAAACTAACTGATATACTTACTATTCAATACATTTTATTTACATGTAACCAACTAATACATACATCAACTGAAACAAAGTCAAGTACTATAAATCTAGCTACTACACTTTTTCAATTGTTTTTTTTATAAATCCAAAGTGCTACTACATAAAATCTCAAAAACAAGGTAAAGAAATCATTAAATCAACACCAACAAAACTGAACCTAAATTTGACCACATGGTCAGACACTGTCTCTACACGAGCAAATAGAGCAACACCATAACTCTTCCAGGAGCAGTAATGAAGTAGGAGGTTGAATTGTGTCCCATACTGTGAGAATTCCATTCATGCCCACTCTCTACTAGTGAGGAAGCTGCAGGTTATGGTGCAGACACAACCGTGGCCTCAGTAGGGTGCAACACACGGATGGTCAATTTCTGGCCGGCTCTGCAATGACTAAGACGCCCGCTAATGGAATAAAACAACCCCGACCGCCTGATCGGGAAAACCGTCTCTCCATCATATCGCTGAACTTGACCATCGGATTCAAAACATTGCAAGTGAAGTGGTTAGAAGCGCTAACTTCCTCCACAGAGTCATTTTTGTACTTGAAAAAGAGGGTGCCTCCAATTCGAAAGCGATTCTGAACAGCCCATTCGTTATAAGTCTCAGACTCATTTTCAGTGGGTTTGGTCCAACCATTCTTGCCTCCGACTTCAAACTGGAAGGAGGAAACCATGACAGCAGTCATGGAGGTGAGGAGGATTAAGGCGAAAACAACAATCTGAATGTTTCTTGAAAACCTGATGCAAGAAAGCCCATTTTGCTCCGTGGAGGTGGACTCTTGTTGGCTTCAGAAAAAAGATCATGCTTCCTAACATAATTTCTAAAACAATATATCATTCACCAAAATATGAAATGGATAGAAATCTTTATTAAAAAAACAATTTACTAAATCCCTCTTCCTCAAAACCTTAATAATGATCAAAAATTCATAGAAGCATTTCAACAAACAAGTAATGGGCATAAAATAAAATAGAGTAAAGTTTCAACAATTAATTTCACAACCCTATAGCACCTGCATCAATGTCACAAAGCATTCAAGAATTAAACATTATAATAACATATATAATTGATTTAAAATCAGAAAACGTAAATAAGTATAACAACTACAATTATCATAGTCAAACCTAAACATTAATTCGTAACTACAATACAAAATCAGAAAAATGTAAAATCTATGAACTACTGTAACCCTACATCGCATAAACCACAAGGAAAATAAATGTTAGATATAAAAAATCATAATATTACCTAACAAGTGAGGGACAAAATATTGAAGCATTTGGAGGAACTTCATCATTATTCATATGTTTTCTGGTAGAGGCAAGTTATGTAGAAATCGTATGAAGATGAATTTGATAGATGGGAGTGTAGAAGAAAGAAAACGAAAAGATTATGAAGATAAGAAATAGGGAGAGAAGAAAGGGAGAAGAGGGGAGAGCAGCGTCCCGGAGTAGGGGAATGTGGAAGAGAGGGAGTGGCTGCAATTGTTTTTGACTCGGGGGAATGGGGGTAATTTTTTTTAGGAGTATTTATAGTGTGTAGTAGTGTGTATGGAAAGTGTGTACAAAAAGACTTTTTCCAGAGTCGAATGATGCCAGAAAAATAGCAATTGTTAGTTCATATTTGATGAGTCATCATGTTGAACACCCCTTCTAAAACTCCAAATTGGTTTAACAGCGTCGAATCCATGTAGACTTAACAGGGCACACCAAAGAAGGCATTGGAGATAAAATAAACTACCACACTTTCTAAATTCATATACTATCCTCCGTCTCTTTTTAATCGCAACATGTTAAATTTTATACTATTCACATGTTCTACTTTGACTACATTTTATATTATTATTTTATGAAAATTATTTTTTTAAAATTATATTGTTCAATTCATCTCATTACAAATTTTCAAAATCTAATTTTTAAATATTTTTTTACTAATGGGGATTAAGATATAATTATGGTCAAAGATGTGCGTTGGCAAGTGTGAAATGTTGACCATTGCAACTAAAAAAGAACAGAGGAAGTATGTGGCAAATTTCGATTCTGTCAAAAGTGAGGGTTGGAGATGCTCTAAGTTGGAAGCATGAATTTACTAAACGGACCAGCCCACAATTTGCTAATGTGGAAAGCATGATAAGGCGGGCCCACACCACACAACGAAGCAAAAGATCCAATAAAGCCACCCACGGCCGCTCTCGTCCCACCCCCGCCGGGAATTAAAGGATCGTGCCGGAATGGCTTCTGGCCATCACACCTGCACCTGCCGCTCCTCCACCGCCGCCGCAGCCCCCGCCCCATGTTATTGCTACTCCGTACACCCCGCCGCCCGCTATCACCCTCCGCCGCCAGACCCACATTCTCAGCTTCCTTGCTTTCCCGACCACCAACACCATCCCCACTTGTGCCCAAATTCGCCCTATAGCTCCCAAACCCTCCTCCACCACCACCGCCACCAGAACCAATGCTGCCCGCCTCAGCCTTTCCTTCAAGAGCTCCACCACCACTGCCAAACGCAGCAGCAATTGACCCCCCAACCCGTCGTTTCTTCCCTCCTCCGCCGCATCGCCACCCTGGAGTCATCCCTCCGCCGCCGATCCGTTTCTTCTCACTCCCTCCGGGATGCAGCTGCTCGTACCATCCAGGCTCAGTTCAGAGCCTTCCTTGTTCGTAGATCGAGAACCCTACGTCAGCTCAAACAGCTTGCTTCTATCAAGTCAGCCTTCAACGTTCTCAAATCGTCGGCTTCCGATAGTAACCCCCAAGCAGTAATTCTCAAGGCTAATCGCCTTCTTCTTAAACTTGATTCCATCCAGGTAATTATCAGCTCTGCATCGATCTTCTTTGTAGATGGTATAGGTATACATTTAGATACTGTATGTGCATTTATGCTGTTATGAATTGGGGGGTTTACTTGCAGGGAAGTGATCCAATGATCCGAGATGGTAAAAAGTCTATTAGCCGAGAATTGGTGAAGTTAATAGAGCTAATTGATGGGATATCTGTAGAAAAGTATGGCCATCCAAATAGAGTACTCAAGAATGTTAAACGTAGCAGTAGTAATAACAGGTCTAAGTTTCACATTCTTCATGAAATGGAGAAAATGGAGAGTATTATCAATAAGTATATTGACTTGAGGAAATCTGTAGAAGAAGAGGATGATGAATTTGAAAACCCTAGAATTTCAGTCATTAAGAAGTCGGGGATTCTGCAAACTGGAAAAAGGGATGGGGAGTTTCAATCCAAAGCAAACAAAGTTGTGACTTTTGCAGATGATGGTCATAATGTAAGAATCCTCAAACCATCTATTTCCCGTGAAGACTCGTATAGAATGGTTGATGCGAACGAAGAGCTTGTCGGGAATCTCTGCAGGAGGGTTGAAGATCTTGGTGTGGCATTGACAGAGGTTGATGATGGTGAAGCTCAAGAGAGCAGTGATAGTGAAACCGAACACAATTGCAGTTCCATTAAAGAAGATGGTAAGTTTGAAAAGAAGAGGGTTGATCATGGTGGAAAGGGGGGTTTCTTCTTCTCCCCACCTTTACCTGTGAAGATGGAAGGAAGGGTTGACTCTGCAGATTAACTATTTTCACACTGCGCACCACATTGGAATTTGAGTGCTTGTTTCTTGTAATATTGAGACTTATCTGTTGCTAATTAGTCTGTGATAGTGGTAGATGAAGTTGGAAGAGCTTGATGGAAAGGCCACTTTAAATTTGTTGTAATGAGACATTGTTTCTTTATTGTGGTTTTGAGAATGTATTCCCCTGGTAGTAGCTAGAGGATGGAAACTCCTGCTCAGTCCAATGTGATGTGCACTTGTGCAGTATGCCTTTTATGTTTTCTTCATCAAGTTAAACGGATTCACTTTTTACTTTGAAGGCAAAAAGAATGATGCACAAATATGGTTGAGACTGGTTGCAAAAAATGCTACTTGTACACGTCATGCTCGTTTACACGCAGAGTGTATTTTGTTTGTGCACGAAGATATTCATTTTAGTAAATGGAACTGTCTCTGACCCCGAATTGTGTGTGCCGAAACAATTCACTTTTTCGAACTAAAATGAAAATCAATTGTGGGTGCACAAACAAAATACACTCACGTGTAAACGAGCATGTAAGCTGATGTGTAAACGTGCATATGAGCAGGCGTGTACCATTAGCATTTTTGGAATAAGAATGATATGTAAAGAAAGACATGACAGTCAGGGGCGGAGCTAGGGGGTGGCCACCCCTGGCCCTGGCCCAGCCTAAATTTTTAAAATCTGTATATTTTTAGTGTAAAAAATTCCGTTTAAATTTTTTTCCAAAAATATTCTTTGTACCGGCCCAGTTCGGCCCAGTGTCCTGGCTCCGCCCCTGATGACAGTGAATATAATGCCCTATATTCAGTTCATAAAAAACGCATCAAATGGATGGGAAACAAGTGGATCAATTTAATTTTACGCTTAAGACCCTCCTTTACAGGATATCTTGAGTTCACATCACCAATTAGAGGATTTATGTACGATTCACTTTACACTTGAGACTTGAATTAGTGCTCCATCCATTTTCAATTAGTGCTCAATCATTCATCATATGAGTAACTTCCTGCAGGAAACTTGAATATGCTGACATATGTATAGGTGAATCCGTGAATGTTATCAACTAATGAAAATTGATTATAGTAGTATTAATAGAAAACATTCCCACTCATATAAGTCTCCCCGTGAGACTGTAGTTGTGTCTACGTAGATTCTTTCTAACCTATTATAATATTTGTTCTATGTTAAGACCAACATTTTTGAACTGGAATGAAATTCGAACATGTGATCTCCTCCTTGGAAGTGTTACAGTGATGTCTTCGGATCACAAGATACTTGGCGTATGTTATCGGTGTAGTATTTTAATTATTAAAAGTGGTTGTGATGAAGATATCAGTTTTTTTGGTGAAAAGATTACTGATTACAACCAATTGAGGAGTTTGTTGCCCTGAAATGCATAGCTCCAAGCTATGATTCACTTATTACATTTATAATTTAAAGTACTGCGTACTAAATTGGAGTTGAGGACTTTGGGCTATATTTGGCATTAGTTTTCTATAAACACAAACTGTTCATTTAATTTCCACGTACACTTAGGATGTTATCTTTTGGACTGAAATTTGATGGTCTGGTCTGGTCTGAACTGGTAAACGTCTGGTCTCTGTGTATTTTATAACTACGGAAGTCTGGTCTGGTCTGAGACTGAAAACAGTCCAAAAGAAAACATCCTTATATCACTATAGGTTTCTTGTGTAAATTGTTCTTTTCTTGACATGTTTTAATTACAATCTCTAAAAGATAGAAATATCACCATTTTAAGAGTCCAATTTGTAACACACAATGTTGATTAAATCTCATTAATATACTGATACACACACACACATACATGTTTGTGTATATGTAAAGACATTGTTGAAATGGTTGAATTGTTGAGTTTGACCAATTATGAGCCTGTTTGGTAGCACCAAAATCGGCTTATTTGGTTGATTCTGCTGAAATTAATGAAGTTCTGGCTGAAATGGCTGTATTGACTGATTCTGCTGATTTATAAAAAAATTATTTTTAAAATATATTTTATTAAAAAAATAAAGAAAAAATTATATGTAAAAATAGCTAAAATGATGATCTACAATAACTTCAGTCAATTCAGCCAGAAAAGTAACTTCAACCTTACTTTTTCTGTTTAATACACAATTCAACGCGCGAAAGCATAAGTTACGTGTTTGGTGAAAAGGTTGGCTGATAAGTCTGATAAGCCGAAAAACAATGTTGCCAAACGGCCTCTATAAATAAATACGGAGTAGTAACTATTTTTGAATTGTGTTTTGTTAGCGAAATGAAATGCAAATCATGTGCAAATTCGGAATAATTTAGTGGGCACAATATTTTTTTGTGCAGCACCAATAACAAAATTTTTAGCGATCAGAAATTCGGAATATATGTAAGGGATATTAATACGGTCTCAAAAACAAAATCATTGTTATACGACTTGTGATCATATAAAAAAATAGTCACTAAATATACAGCGACCATATTGGAAGTTGGTCCCAATTTATTTGTCACCATGAACAAATTTGATAATCCACTGTGGGTATTTTGATTTTCATAATCCAACTCTCCAATAAAAAACCGTGCTTGGGAAAAAAACATGACCGATAAGGTGGTTAAGAAGATAAAAACATATTACCAAAGGTGCACTCAAATTTTCTTCCATTTTTCTTACTTTCCAATCTTTTTTACTTATTTACGTTTCATTCTTTCTCCAACTTTGAATATTTGCACTTCAATTACTTCAGAGTTACTTTGCAATACTTTATGAAACCGGCTTCCTATTCAGGATAGCCTCGGTTATCTGCATATAGTAAATAGATGCGACTTATGCAAGAGTGGTTTGGAAACAATACCACACCTTTTTTTCCAATGTCCTTTTACATGTAGGGAATGGATGGGTTTTAGTCACTAAATGACCACGCTACTCAGTTCGGTCAAATGGATAATAAAGACGCACAAAGGTTCGAAGCTGAAGGCCAAAGCAGCTAGACTGGCATTCTGTGCCGCAGTCTACTACATCTGGCACGCAAGGAACGCGACAAGGTTTGATGAAGTAATGAAGACGGAGGAGGACATTGTTGCTAAGATTAAGATTGTCGTATATCGGATACTCTTTAGTGTCTACCTACATGATTTGATCGTTTTTTGAGTAGAAGGCCGCGCCATGGATATTATGGATGTAGCGGTTTGGACAGACTGATACATGACTGTTTGGTGTGTCGAGGCATGGATATTTTGGATGTCGCGGTCTGGGCACTCAGGACACCGCAACATGGACATCGTGGATGCCGCGGCATGAAGTATGTTTTTGGACTTTAGGGTGTGTGCATCTTGCAACACCTTTGTACTTTATTTTGATTTTTAGCATTTGATCTGTGTGCGTGCATGTGCAGCACAGACGCATTTTTGAACCTCTTGATGGGCCAAGTATTATACTTGGTTATTTTGGTAACATCCTCTCACCCTCACATTATATGGGGGTGGGGGAAGTTTTAGGAGATCTAGGAGATGTGATATATAATTTTATGAGTGTTAATATATATTTACATTTCATCCAAAAAAAGAGAAGAGGAAAATGTATGTTTGTTTTCCGAAAAAGAAAATTAATACTCCGTATGAGGTAGTATAATAAACAAGAATTTCTTTGAAATTGAAAATGACCAATGAGTATTACGGATACAACAAGACAAAAAAAAGTTGGCGCGTACTATTGAGTACCGACGGATGGCTAAGGTGCTGATCTTTCGTTTTTGATAAATTATTTGATAAGCTCAAATTCATTTTGTTGACCACTTGTTTGATAAGCTCAATCTTATATGATTAATGATTGGATTAGTCGACAGATCAGAGTTATTGTTTAAATTAGACGGTCAACTTTTACTAAAATTCACAGTTCTATTTTTATTTAATGCATGCATCCACCTCGAGAAGCCACATTCATTTCTAAAATTAATTTACTAACTTTCCAATTAATTTTACCAAATACTCCGTACCATATACTAGTACTACCTATAGTAATAAATTCGTTAAATTGTAACGGCAAACACTAACTACTTTATTACTCCGTATCTTTTAACATGAAACTTAAATGTTGGATATATAATATTGATGTTAATTATCTCAACAGTTTACTCTTGACTTGGGATACTCATTGAGAGTCTGTTTGGTAGCATCAAAATCGGTTGTTTTGGCTGATTCTCCTGAAATTTATAAAGTTCTGGTTGTTGTGACTGTATTAGTTGATTCTATTGATTTTTTAAATATATTTTATTAATAAAATAAAAAAAAAATAATATGTAAAAATAGCTAAAATTGTCATCTACAGTAACTTCAGCCAATACAACCAGGAAAGTAACTCCAAAATTATTTTTTCTGCTAATTACACAATTCAGCGCGCGAAAGCAAAAATTACGTGTTTGGTGAAAAAGTTGACTGATAAATACGGAGTATGATAAACCGAAAAACAGTGTTGCCAAACGGCCTCTGAATACTGCAACCATTAAATTAATCATGATTGATTTACGATTTTATTGATTTACAACATACTCATTTGATAAAGTTTAACTTAGAGCCCGTTTGGTAGCACGAAAATCGGCTGATTTGGCTGATTCTGCTGAAATTTATGAAGTTCTGGCTGAAGTGGCTGCATTGGCTGATTTAATAAAAAAAATATTTTTAAAATATATTTTATTAATAAAATAAAGAAAAAATATGGGAAAGTTCCCGAAATATGACTAAAACAGTTTGATAGTTCCAAAATAGGACTGACATGTTTTTTATTCCCAAAATAGGAGTAATTACTGTCAAGTTTGGAAAATACTGCCATGTTTGAAGTCCGGTACTATCAAAACATGACAGTAATTAGTCATATTTTGGGAATAAAATCATGGCAGTCCTATTTTGGAATTTTCAAACATTTTTAGTCCTGTTTCGAGTAATAAAAAATATATGTAAGAATAGCTAAAATGGTCATCTACAGTAACTTCAGCCAATACAGCTAGAAAAGTAACTTCAACCTTATTTTTTCTGCTTATTACACAATTCAGCATGCGAAAGCAAAAGTTACGTGTTTGGTGAAAAAGTTGGCTGATAAGCCGAAAAACAGTGTTGTCAAACGGCCTCTTTTTTTTTCTTTTTTTTGGATGAAATGTAAATATATATTAACACCCAGAAAAACTATACATCACATATTCTAGATCTCCTACCCCCCACCCCCCACATAATTTGAGGATGGAAGGAGGTTTTTATTTGATCTAAACTATGCCAAAATAGTCAAGTATAATACTTGGCCCATCAAGAGGTTCAAAAAAATACATCGATGCTGCCCATGCACGCACACAGATCAGAGGCTAAATTCTAAACAAAGTACAAAAAGTGTTGCTAAATCAAACACTATAAAGTCTAAGACCATGCTTCATGCTGCGGCATCCATGATGTCCATACTACGGTTTACCAGGTACCCAAGCCGCGGCATCCATAATATCCATGCCTCGACTCACCAAACCAACATGTAGCGGTCTATCCAAAACCGCGGGATCCATAATACATGCCACGGCCTTCCACTCAGAAAGTAATCAAGTCATGCGGGTATAAATTGAAAAGTATTTTATACACCACATGCTTGATTTTTGCAATGACTTCCTTTTCCTTGACGTCCCCTTCATCAAATCGGTTGATATTCCTAGCGTGCCAAAGGTAGCTTAGCCCAAAGTGTACCCCTATTCCACGTGTAGAAAACACCGGTAGATGGGGCATCTTGTAGGTTAGTCGAGAGCATGAAATCATACAAATGTTGCATCATGTACGCCGTCGGGGGGGGGGGGGGGTCGGACCCACCCTTTCATTTGGCGCACACACACAATTAAAATCACCACTAATTAACCACGGGTGTACTATGGAAACCCCCAACTCCGTTAGGTGTTCCCATAACTCTTTCCGTTCAAGCACAGTGTATAAAGGATAAACAAAAGAGGCAATAAAAACACTCTGGCTAACCCGACAGGTGCAATTGAGATGCATGTGCTGTTTTCCAATTTCTAAAAAAGTACAGTTCACAAAATTGGGATCCCACATGATAGCCATGCGCCCACCATTTAAAAGGTCAAAATTAGTTTCATGCACCCAACCCGGCCACACATTAGAAACATAATTTTTAAACCCAACCGTAGACATTTTAGTTTCTAGAAAACAACACAATTTTATTTGGTTAATTCGAATAAAACCCCTAACATTCCAAGTTGCTATTTTAACCATCATTTATATATAAAATTATATAAATATACCAAACCTGCACACAAGAAATTAAACATCAAGATTAATAGAGGTCCGAGGAATGGTTCTCGTCCCCGGGGTCACCTTTCTCCCCATCCTTTAATCTCTCGGCCTGTCTTTTCCTTCGAAGCTTCTCCCTTAGAAATTTGATATTCCTGGCTAGATTTGCATCAAAGAAATTCAGGACATTAGAAATAAAATCATTGTTAGGAAAATCATACCAGTTGTCCTTTTTTTTCACTCCTGGGTAAGAAAGAATGAATGACTCAATGAAAGTAACTCCTGGCTCCTCAGCTTTCACCTTTTAATTTGAAGCTTGAAACCAACCCTCACAGTAGTCACCCCCTGGCAGCAGGTTTGGCGGACAAACACAAGCCAATTTCTTGCCATTCTCATCACTGCCAACCTTAATAACCACATCCCCTTCAACCATATCATGCATGTTGCGAATCACAGTGCCCAGATCATCAATTGGCAGTTTATTACAAACTGCCTCACCAATTGAGCTAGGCTTTATAGAAGAAATGCCCGGCTTATCATTAAGCAAAGTGGCAGCTTTCAGGTTTGCTTTTTCCAAGTTGGCAGAACACTCAATGGCCATTAGTTGTTTTGTTTGCAAGAAATCAGTGTTATGGCGGGCCTGCACATCAAAGAAACTAGCAACATTAAGAGTAAAAATATTTTTATTAAAATTGTACCATGTTCTTGTGCGCCTAACTCCCAGGAGTGCAACCAAACAAGGGTCAGTGACACCATGGCCGGAGCATCGAGATCAGTTTCTCTTTGAAAGTTCTTTTTAAGCCTGGAGATCGCGATATAGCTTTTGATTTGGTGGCGCTTTTTTACATATGCTAAATGTGCCCCATCCTCCTTTGTTATAAATTTGTTGATGATATCATCCGGTTCAAGCTCGTGCACACTCTTAACAAGTCCTTCCCATTCAAATTTGTCAAACGGCCTCTTAAATATAAGTCATGATGAATATACGAAGTATTACTTATTTACATTAAAATATATATTAAAATAGTTCTAAAATCTCATATCTATAAACCCCTGCATGTACTTTTGTAATAACAATATAACACTCTTTTGAACTTTTACTTCAACTTATTAGTCTAGTCATCCCTTCCTCATGCTATATTTGGATTATTTGGAAGAAGGAATTTGAGCTAAAATGTATTTTCTAAAGTATACACTATTGTACATTTGGATTTGAATAAAAGTTGTTACCAATTAAAATGTCAGTTAATGAAATAGACTCTTTTGTCTGCACCTGAAATAGCTACTTTAAAATGTAAAAGCTCATAACCACATATTTTAATAGAAACCAGATGAGTGTTTTTCTGTTGCAAAAACCAGATCAGTGTTGAACAACAGGACAAAAATGGACTAAGCTAAGCTAATACTCCATAGTAAATTAAAAAAAAAAGTAATGTGAACTAATCAAATGTAACTGATAAATCACTTCTCATTGGTTACACATCATAAAATACCCGCAATGTGTTTGTACCTAATTTAGAGTCCAATTGATCATATTGAAATTCGTTGAATACGTGCAATTTTAGGTGAATCGGTTGAATTAGAGCAGCTAAATCTATTAAATTATGAAAAAATTATATTTAAAATATACTTAATTAATCTATTTAATTGAAAATTATATTAAAAGTCTTGTCATCTATAATAACTTCAACTAATTTAGTTAGAGAAGTAACTCCACACTTGCTTATATTGATTATTACATAATTCGGTATGTGAAATAAAAAATTACGTGTTTCGTAAAATGATTACTTCAAATAATTCAATCAGAAAAGTAACTGCAACCCTATTTAATTTCATTATTATGTAATTCATCATACAAAATGAAAAAATTACTTGTTTGGTAAAAAAATTAGTGACAAAGGCACAAAACTAATGAACGGTAACAATTAAATAAATTACCATACACGGAATGAGTGTTTGTTTAATCACAAAATTTAACACATACTCCCTCCATCCCCTTTTAAATGGACGGGAGATGGTGGCACGAGTTTTAAGAAAAGTGAGTTTGTGTGGTTGATATTAATTGATAAAGTAAGAATAAAGTAAGAATGATTTTAAGCCACACAAAGTTTACCAAATAAGGTATGAGACAATTAAATAGGGACATCCCAATAACGTAAAACGGGACATTTAAAAGGGGACGGAGGGAGTACGTAGTACAATTTCTTTAATCAAAACAATCTATCAATCAAATAGGAAGTACTCCGCAGTAAACACCTCCTAATTGAGTTTCTTCTAAAGGATAAATAAAAACAGAATAACTACATGGCAAGTAAATTCTATAGATAGAGATTCGTTTAGCCGAATACAAAGAAACAAGTTCATAAGCTAAATACGGTATGCTTTTTATTTATTTAATATTTTTTCTTAAAATATTATTTTTCAGACGTTACTAGCTGGAAAGAGTAGAAAACGCAAAAATCAATAGATTACCCTCAAATCTCCTTCCCTCCAGATCTCCTACTTTCTCTCTCTACATTCATTCTTTCCTTCCATGGGGAGAGAATTCATCATCCGCCACAGCTGAAGCAAGAAATCACATCTGCGTTTAATATTTTGATTTCTTAGTTAGCTGTTGCGGCTATTGTTGTCAGCATTTTAATTGTTGTTGTTGAGAATCCATTGATGCTTCGGTTTGTCAGGATTTCCATTTCGAATTATACTCCGTATTTGATTACAATTTGATATATTTCATAAATTTTGGATGCATTTAGGCTCGCATTCGAGTTTTTGTCTGTATAGGGAGAGGAAGCTCTGTATAGGCTTTGTCATCATACATATACAGGTTCGAAGTTCTGCGCAATATATTGGTTTGGTTTGATTTGGTAAGTTTGTGGAGACAGAAGGAAGTGAAGGTGGATTTGATTTTGCCTCGGAATAGACCTGGCAGTCGGTGAGCCCGGATCGTTGATTAGATGTGGGGACGGATCTGATGGTGAAAAAAACATTGTGGTTCAATTGCTTAGGGGTAGTTGCACATCACGGAAAGAAGGTCAAAGCTGACGGTGGTTTCCGCAGCATTCATATTTGGATTTCATCTAGGGTTGTTGGGGTGGAGCTGAAGGATTGGAATTGGATAAGAGCAGGGAGAGCAATCGTGGCGGTGGAGAAGGGAGGAAGATGCAGCTGCACTTCTCTCCTAGCATGAGAAGTATAACGATATCGAGCAACAACAATGGAGGGTTGGGTGATTTGATGAAGATCAAGGTCGCAGCTCGTCACATTTCTTACCGGACGCTCTTTCACACAGTCCTTATCCTAGCTTTCTTATTGCCTTTTGTGTTTATCCTCACAGCTGTTGTCACGCTAGAAGGTGTCAATAAGTGCTCCTCACTTGGTATATGATTTTCTCCAATTTCCTTTTTATTAAAGCACTATTCCAGATCTCTTTTTTCTCTGGGTTGATTTTTTATTCATATCTGGCTACTTTGTACATCTATGGGTACATCTCTGCGCGTACATCTGACCCCCTTACCCCACCATAGGTGGGAGCCTTTGCGTCACTGGGGTAATGATGATGATGATCTGGCTACTTTGTACATGATTGTTGTTGTTGTATCTGGCTACTTTGTGTTTTGCTTGAGAATTTAGAGGGTACCTTGATGTTACATATGACATATCTATAGGTTATTATTATTATTATTAGTTGTTAATTATTATTTGATTTGATTTACCACTCAGTATGCTATATTGCTATGTAGAGCTGAGGACTAAATTCAATAATTTGTTCTCGGTACCATGCCTGTGATATTCTTGATGTATTTTTGTTTCAGCTTATGGATTTATGCACCTAATTGTGTTTGGGCTACTGGGGGTTAGGAGGGGATTGGCAAATGCAGCACTTCAAGTGATCAATTCATGCATGCAGTGTGTGTTCTCCAATTTATTGTTGCATTTTGGTAGATAGAAGCTACCAGGATGCAACATGATCCCAGACTCAGGAAAAATGGAAATAGTGTTGGCCATACAACATGTTGAATGTTAGTGTGAAGTTTATATGAACTGAATTATTCAATAAACATAATAGAAATCATTGACATGCTTTCTATTCAGTCAATGTACCCTGTTTGAATTGTTGCGTCCATGATTTCTTTCCATAAAGATTTGAATCAATCATATGAAGCCCACAGTTTATTGTCTTAACATACTGAGTCATCTTATAACCACAATGTGTAAACTCCTCAATACACTCTTTTTTTACTGTTAATCTCTTCTATATGTTAGTGGCCCTAAGTACTTTTAAGTTTTAACCATTCTGTTATACAACGCCAAAAGAGGAACTCATGTTGATGTGGACAAGGGACCAGCGCTTGTCTTTTTAGGAGTTTTCAGTTTGTTTGGCTATGATGGCTTTTCTTTTTATTCTTTATCATTTTGTCTTGTATTTTCATTACTCTAGTTTCACTCCCAAAATAATCCCAATAAAACATTTGTTGTCTGTTTCACAATGATTTCAATTGTCAAGGGAAAGATTTTGATGACTCATAATGATTTCATTTTCATATGGACTTACAGATTGTTTAGGCAGGCGGTTGGGACCAAAGCTTCTTGGAAGAGCTGATGATTCAGGGGTAATTGATAGTTCATCATTCATTTCTTTTTCATGATTGATAATGTCACTATTCTAACATGAACTGCATCATGACCAAATGTTTGGCAAATTCTGTTATTTAAGCGCCTCTCAACTCTGTTGCTGCAGAGGCTCATGAAGGATTTTGTCAAGATCCTTAATCAAGTGAACTCTGAGGAAGTACCTGCTAGCTTGAAGCTCCCCGAGTCATATAATCAACTTGTTTCTGAAATGAAAAATAATAAACACAGTGCAAAAGAGTTAGCATTGATGTTGAAGGGAATGGTCAGTTCTTGTAGCCACATGTTGTGTAGCACTGTATATCATTACTGTTTTTATTGTTTGTCTTTTCTTTCTTACCAAATATTCTAATTTGCAGATGGAAAGATTTGAAAGAGAGATCAGGGAATCCAAGTTTGCAGAACTCACAAACAAACACTTCGCTGCAAGTTCAATACCTAAGGGAATTCATTGTCTCTCATTACGGTTGACTGATGAGTATTCATCCAATGCTCATGCACGAAAGCAGTTGCCTTCACCAGAGTTACTCCCATTGCTCTCTGACAACTCGTTACACCATATTGTACTGTCAACTGATAACATCTTAGCTGCTTCCGTTGTGGTGAACTCTGCTGTCCAATCTTCTCATAATCCTGAGAAGATGGTTTTCCATGTCATCACAGACAAGAAAACATATGCTGGGATGCACTCCTGGTTTGCTTTGAATCCGGTTTCTCCAGCTATTGTGGAAGTAAAAAGTGTTCACCAGTTTGACTGGTTAACCAGGGAGAATGTTCCCGTGCTTGAAGCTGTGGAGACCCATAATGGGATTCGTAATTACTACCATGGGAATCACGTTGCAGGGGCTAACCTGAGTGATACTACACCTCGCTCTTATGCCTCAAAGTTGCAGGCCAGAAGCCCTAAATATATCTCATTGCTAAATCATCTTCGCATATATCTTCCTGAGGTAGTCAGCTTTACTATGAGAAGAATCGTGTCGAGTTGTTTTTAAGTTTTACCCCGAGTGAAAAATAAAAGGACCGTAATGTTTTAGGGTAAATGATAATACTCTATCAATCCCCAATTAATCTTCTTTTTTTGACATGACACGCCTATGAAAAAGGTGAAGCTATGTAGTTGAGATTTAATTAAGGGGAAAATAGTATAAATACCCCAAACTTTAAAGGGGTCTGAGATAAATACCCTAAACTTGCATATGTAATATATATATACCCCAAACTTTATATAAAAAGTTATTTTTGCACAATGATTATATGTTTTTTACAAATATAAATTTAGAGCAATAAATACATAATTTAAAATACTCTAAGCTATATCTGGATTCAGTAACATTCTAAAATTTCATTTGTGAAATAAATAATATTAATCCGGTACAATCTAACTTTAATTGCATCCTCATAAGTGTTTTGTGTATTTTAAATTATGTACTTAACACTGTAAAATTACATTTGTGAAAAAGCATATGATCATGGTGCTAACATAACTTTTTATATAAAGATTGGGGTATATATATATTACATGTGCAAGTTTGAGGTATTTACCTCACACCCCCTCAAAGTTTGGGATATTTAAATTATTTTTCCCTTTATTTAATAAAGAAAGAAAACTATGGATCACTCTATTCTTTCCTAGAAAGGCAACTATAAGATGATTTTGGGATGGATTGAAAAGGAAAACATGAATTTTAATTTGGGATAGAGGTAGTAATTTAGAAGATCGAGGACCAGCATGTTCAAATCATTGAGTCATTAACAGCTTGAAATATTTGTTTTTATGAGTCATAATTTCCGTCCATCTTAATTTTCTCTGAAGACTTTTTATAGACTTCCCTTACATGTTGTGAAATCCATGTGTATTGTGTAAAACTCTTTACTCGTCTTGTGCAGCTTTTTCCAAACCTGGACAAAGTGGTTTTCTTTGATGATGATATTGTGATCCAACGTGACTTGTCCCTACTGTGGGAAATTGACCTTAATGGGAAGGTTAATGGGGCTGTAGAGACCTGTAAAGGTGAAGATGAGTGGGTAATGTCTAAGCGATTCAGAACATACTTCAATTTTTCTCATCCTCACATTGCAAAATACTTGAACCCTGATGAGTGCGCCTGGGCTTATGGTATGAATATATTTGACTTGCGTGCATGGAGAAGGACCAATATAAGAGATACATACCATGCATGGCTCAAAGAGGTAAATAAACTGTGTCATTATTCAGTCCATTATTATGTTCATCTACTAGTTGGTCTTTAGTCAGAGAAATTTTACTCTAAAATTCCTATCCCAATTCAGTATCCTCAACTCTCTTCCTATTTATGTATTTATTGACCAAATCCGACAAATTAAGAAAATGGATTAGGTCGATAAACTAATCATAACTTATATTTTCCTTAAAAGGCCCTCATTTAATGTGTAGTAATTACTTGCTAACTATCCGATAAATGATTAGTATAAGAAGGTAGCATTTGGAAACACTGCCTCTATAGGCTCCATCCTATTAAGTTTGGGACTAGGGTTTGACACAAATGATAAGAAAACGTGGACTTGTGTGGTTGGTATAATGGTATTGAATTTTAAAAATTAGGGGTGATTGTGAGCCACTAAATATGATCAAATATGGAATGAGACAAACTTTTTGAGACGGACCAGAATGAAAAGAAGGGAGAAACAAAGTGGGCGTAAGGAGTTATATTTAACGTGCATCAATTTCATAAGGACAGTTAGAAATTAAGAAACAAAATTCGTTACAGACAAATACAAATACGCAACGAGTATCTAAATTTGGTGCCTGCTGACTGATAACATTATCCATGGGGATGATTGCAAACTTCAGATGGTAGAACAATTGGGTGTGGTACTGTAGTGTTAAACCATGTTGCAATAGGCCTTCGTGTTCTTTCGTGTGACTGTAATGCGATTGGTCTGTTTTTTGAATAAATAACAAAATTGTTAGAATTTTCCTTCTACCAAATGACTTTTCATTGGCAATATTCCCTAATATTTAGGTGACAGGCACATGCAGGTTCTTAACCTATACATATAATCTTTTATTGATGCAGAACTTGAAGTCAAACTTGACAATGTGGAAGCTCGGAACACTACCTCCAGCTTTGATTGCATTCAAAGGTCATGTCCACCCAATAGATTCATCTTGGCATATGCTTGGATTGGGCTACCAAAAAAACACAAATATAGAGAATGTCAGGAAAGCTGCAGTAATTCATTACAATGGGCAGTCAAAACCATGGTTGGAGATAGGGTTTGAAAATCTCCGGCCATTTTGGACGAAGTATGTGAATTACACCAATGATTTTGTTAGGAATTGCCACATCTTGGAGTAGTAGGAAGGTTTGCCCCTTTTTTGTTGTGGAACTACATTCCTGTATACGTCGTGGTCTGGAAGTAAATCAAGACTTGGCTAAACCAGAGTCATACTGAAGTGGTTCTGTTCTCCCCCGCTTCTGAACACATCAGAGAGGACCCACAGTTACCGTTCCTGGGACGAGATGTTCATTCTTTCACTCTGTAAACCAAGCTGTTACATCCCCATATATTTTTTTAAATATACAATATATACATTATTTTGGCCTGCTGGTATGGGTGTAGCTTCTTAGTCCTTTGGAAGGATTGATGCAGCGCGTCTGAATGAGATTCTTCATGTGCTGCAGGAGAGGGAAAGCTTGGATCACCCATTCTGTCCACATTAGATATATAGATGATTCTTTGAATTCCTTTTTATGTTGAAATAGATTTTTTTGCTGTTTCCTTTATCTTTTACATTTTCTTTTGATTGTTGATTCTATATAAATTGGGATATAAAGCTGTGTTAGGTTAGTTGGACTCCTTTTTTGTTCTCTTCTACTGTAAGAAGTTCTTGGGATCTCATGAGCTGAAAATTCTTTATTAACTAATCATTAGATATGAATCTTTGTTTTATTCATCCTTTGACATAGTAAACTGCATAAACATTTTTTTTAGCAATTGAGTGAAATGCTAATCTTCTTCATTGTTGATATGTTGCATTCAGATTAAAAATTAAAATACTGGCCCTCATCCAAATGTTAAATCTAAACAACAGATGCAACATTATTAAAAGATACTCCGTACTATGAGTAACTAAAAATGTCAACAACAAAAACCCCAAATTAGTTTCTCACATTCTCATATTTGAGGAATGGGTATTTTTACTGTACTTTTGAATTTTCAAAGTCGATGAGATTAGAATTTTATGGGCTACGGGCTACCTTGATCGCAAATTTTTTAGAAAATACCAAAAACACGACTACCATTATTAGACATAGGCAACTACTTTCATCCTACTACTTCCGCTCACTAATATTGAAACATGGAGAGGTGACGAAGTTATTTAAAAATAATAATTTATATGATTGATATTGAATTAATAAAGTAAAAATAAATTAAGAAAGATTTAGAATCTCATAAAGTTTAGCAAATTTGATATGTGACAATCTTAGTTAGACGGACAAAAACAAACTACGAAGTATAAGACAATATTAATGGAATGGAGGAAGTATTATATTTCGAACATGTGAATTTAAATTTATTGAAGAAAGTAGGATTATATACTACATGATATATATAATGTAGTAATTAAAGACGTAATTGAAATACTAAATTATGAATGAGTTTGAATCACGTAACACATGATACAAATATGAATTGTCAACTTCTCTTATTCAGCTGTTCTAGAAAACTATCATTTCAATTTAAAGTAAAAAGATTATAATTAAGGTTATATATCTTCTCCCACAATTTATAATTAAAGTTATCTGTTATTTTCCACAACCCAGGGCCGGTCCCGAAGAAATGTAGACCCTGTGCGAGAATAAAATTTGGGCCTTTTTTCAAGTTGCAACACAAGCAAAGTGTCTTAAAATACAACTTACGAATAAATGTAATGATAAAAATAGTCATTAATAACTTACAATTTATTTGAAAAAGGACATTCTTCAAGCATATTTAGATTTACGCAGGGGGATTTTGGGCTGGGGCGTAATGCTAAATTTTTTTTTGGGCCCTTCAAAAATCCGGGCCCTGTGCGGTCGCACTGGGCAGACATGCCCTGGGCCGGCCCTGCCACAACCTATAACCGACAATCTCCCAAATTTTACATTCTTAGTTTCTTAATCCACATGCAAATCAATTTTACATTTTTTTATGAATAGATGATAAAGAAAAGTGGGAAAGAAGTAAGAACATAAGGACTTACGCTGCCAATCCTGCCATGTGACGAACACAAAGCGAAACTATTCTTTCGCCTTTTACTAAAAATGGACTTATGTAGGCATACACAATTTTCTCATACTGAGAAAACTACAATGATTCCATAACAGGAGTGTGAAGGATATTACAATGTAGCACCAAAGCGGATACAATTGCACAAATGGCTCACAAGAATGTTCTGAAGCATACCACCTATACTCAATCAAAATGCTCACCGATTGTGAATAGTTCTGAGCAAAAAACTCTGGAAAGCTTTCATCATCCTTGTAAAAAGAAATGCAGCACTGCACACACATAAAGATATAATAATATATATTTCATTCTTCTGCTAGGCCTCACTCAGATCCAGAAGCTTCCGCTTCCTCTGTATCAGACAAGGGCAAGAGTGTACAAATCCCAAGCACATGACCGTTAAGGCACACATAATACTCAATCGCATCTTCATAAGCACCCAGTCTGCAACTAGCACTTGAGGGTATCATATTAGCCTGCAACATACTCCACAGCTTCGCCTTACAGTACGGACACACCTCCCTCGGGTGCAGCTGAGCGTCCTTCTTTATCAGCATCTTCTTCACCTTTGATGACCCGAATGACTTAAATATCCCCCGGAAAAACCCAACGTCCCCTTCTTCTCCTTGGTCAAGATGCTCACATGGATCGGAAACGTACAAAACATCTGTCCTGCATTGAGGTAAAAGAAAGCTCTTACCAGACGTCCTTGAGAACCGTGTCCTATGAACGAAGTGTCCGGGAATGTGAATGGTGTTGAACAACCCGCCCTTTGTACATCCAGAGCAGTAAATGAGGAGTTTCCCAAGTGCCCTCCAGTTACCGTCCACACTGTGGCTGCCACAGGATTGTAGGTCAAGCATCATCTTGGGCGCCCTTTTCTTGCAGAACTCCTTCCAGAGAACTCTCTTCGCGAGATCGTCAAACCATTTGCACGCACAGGATAGATCTGCAATCGTCTTCGGGTTCCAGTTCATATGTTCAAAGACTAGGAATATCACTTCTTCACTTAGATGCCCTTTTGTGCATATGCAGTATGCCGAGTGACTGCACCGGTATTGTTTGGTAATTTTCATTTTTCTGAAAACCTGTCAATTGCTGATGAAGCAACACTTCGGATCTGTTTCAAACCCGGAAAATGCTAGAGACAATATGGAGGAAATTAGAGGGGTTCAAACTCAATAAACCAATTTCAAAAATTTGTTCAAGCTCATTTATATATATATATCTGTTATATAAAGACTAATAAATCTAAATACATGTAACTTTCAACCAGAATAATAATCAGATTTGATTCTCTTTCGTATAAAGCTGAACATAAAAAGGTCGATTTCCTACCCATTTCCCTACAATTTTCTGGTTTCCCGACAGAGCCGTAATGATCTTATACGTTTTGATAAATCTTACAAAAATGAACATATTGGAAGCAACTGTTTATGAAGTTGATTAGCACTATATATAATACTACCTCCAGCCCATTGGACATTGTAAGTTTTAATTTGCAGGTGAAATAAGAAAGTAAGAATTGCGTGGTTGAAATGTGTGCAGAGATAGAAATAAGTACAACCACAAAAGTATTACTTTAAAGGGAAAATAGCAGTCTTTTAAACAGCCAAAAAAGGAAAGTAGGCAAAAATCTTGTGGGACAAAGGGAGTAAGGGTTAAAAGGTTCCTATTGAAAACTATTATTCAACAGTCCAAATGATTGATTTTGATCCTAGTCACACAACAACAACATCCAAGTCGTATTCCAAAAAGACTTAGGGGATGGCTAACATGAATCAATAGTATACCAAGAAAATGACAAGGAGGTATAATAGCTTATACTCCAGGGACAATAGCTCAAACTCCACGATTTCGGTGTTTTATCAGTTTCAGTCTTTCAAATAAGTATTAAGAAGAACCACAAGAGAAAACAGATACGACTAAAATGATAAACATTTCTTCAAACAGATATTCATTCTTTTTTCTCAAAAATAAGACTCACTCACTTATTCACTCCTACAGAAGAACTACTATATTGGTCCCACATTGTTTTGCAAAAATAAAAAGAATATGAGGTTAACTGACAATAGAATTAATGTTCCCCTTAATACTATGCAAATTGTTGTTAGTAATTAAATTTCTATATTTAAGAACTATACTTATAGTTCTATTGAATTGGAAAAACAGAACTCGAATATTGTAAAATTTTGATACTCAAGATCGCAGAATACAAAGGTAACTGCATTGACCAGAACTATACTTATAGTTCTATTGAATTGGAAAAACAGAACTCGAATATTGTAAAATTTTGATACTCAAAATCGCAGAATACAAAGGTAACTGCATTGACCAATGGCATAATGAAATCACAAAACAATTTGGGTGGGAGGTATTATTAATTAACCTTATTCTTCTTTTATGATTTTATAGAAAACAGGGATAGTCTTACTAGTGCACATGACACATGTTTTACCCCTGAATACCATAACTTCTAAAAACATAAACCCTAATTCTTAGCTCTTAAATTTCTAGTATATCATAAAATGTAACTTAAGCCTCCAATCTACAAGCTAGTCTTACAGAGTTACGCATGCCCAATCAATCAAAGACATGAAATCAAAATTTAGAATAAATTGTAAAGGTAGATCATTGCCAAGATGATTAGTGGATACTTCAAGAACTCTTTTATCATTCAGTTCTAATGTGTAGGATATAGAAAGTCCAAAAGTAGAGACTCAACTAAATGTGAAAATGTGATGTTCATAGATCTTCAGAAACCCAAATTTTCTCACCCAGTTGTTTCAATACATGATTCAAATTCACCATAACTAACATTGGATCTATCAAACACCTGATAAAACTGCGACACAGCCCATACCTGAGCAGAAGTCAACTTCAATGTTAGAGTAAGCACACAGCGCCAATCTTATGCGGCAAAAATCTCATTAAAACCCTAAATCGTAAGGAAATATAACACTCAAGGTCAATGAAATGAGAATAAAAATGCACCTTGAAGCAAAACAACAATCGATGGATAGGTCATAATATGTCAGCAACTCGTAGCAAATTTCTCACCCCAACTCACATAGACCCTAACCATGGCATCTGATTTTTTTAACCAGAAGCTTCAGCATGAAGAGTGAAGGAAAGAAAAATAGCAAACACTCGAAGATTGGTGCAACTTAAGCTGTGGAAACCATGAAAAAAATCATTGCTTACACTACCAGATCACTGCAATTTCAAGAGGAAAATAATACGAAGTAATTTCTTAAGTTTTTTTTTAATATGCCATGGAGAGAAAAAATGCTACACAGTATCTGCTATGGTCCATTCCTCTTGGCAATTTGCATTTCTTTTTAAAGGTGTGGAATGTGGAGAAGAAAAACCATAATCATTTGTCATTCCATTTATAGACAATAGAGTATTAATTAATTAATCTTACCCATAGAAATGTACTCCCTCCGTGCCACAAAACTTTATCAATTTTCCTTATTTAGCCGTCCCAAAAAACTTTGACATTTTTTTAACGTAACAAACTTGTGATTAATGTTATTTCTCTCTCCTTTGCACAAATCTCAACCACATAGTTTGTACTTTCTTACTCCACGTGCAAATCAACTTTGATCAACTTTTATGGGACGGATGAAGTATTTATTATCAAGTACCAGTCACACACCTCACCCCGCCATAGGTGAGAACCGTTGCAGCACTGGAGTAATGTTGTCGTTGTTGTTCTACCAGTCACAAACCTTAAAGCTGAAAAAACTAGAACCACATACCTCTATGAGATTCTACAAAATAATACTCCCTCCGCCCCCCAATTAAGTTCCTAGTTGCATTTTTAGAGTCAAACTTTATAAACAATTAAACACTGACCGTTAACTATTCAAAACATACATTAGTTTATCACACATGAATTAATTTTACGTACTTCATTGCAATATATATTATTCAAATGTTAATTTATATTAGATTTTATAAGTATAGATTTTTAGATATTTAGGGTCGTACTTCCACCTAGAAGACCATAAAAGTCAATTTGGGAATTTAATTGGGGGACGGATGGAGTATATTTGAGTAAAATTTGTCTCAAAGTTCAGAATAAACTATTTTCTGATTGCAACGGACATGGATTAAATTATTGTTTCAATTCATAGACTACGCAACATAATGAAAGACACTACACCTCTAAAAATGCTTGTTCATATGTTTACATATCTTTGAGGCGTATCGTATTTACATATACTGTGAAACTTAATGTAAGACACAACACCTCTAAAAATGTGTATTAGTGTATTCATATGTTTATAATATTATATCTCTTTGAAGCGTATCTTATTTTAACATAACCAGATATATCTTGCTCTATACAACAAGAGGAAAAAGGTGTACCACTTTCCGCCTAAAGTCATTTTCTCTTTGGTTGACGCATGATGATTTGATATTTGGAGCATAGCCTCCCGTGGAAAAAAACTTAGTAATGTCTCTTCGAAGTAGGAATAAACATTGAGTTAGAAACTAGTGAATCCTTGAAGAGTGGAATTAAAAGGACTACTAAATTAGGCCAGCTGTTAAAGTGTCTTGGACAGTGAAATTTTCAGTTCCTGAAACTGGACTGGGTTCTTAAGCAGAGCTCTGCATTAGTTTGTGGTCCCTTCAGATATTTGAAAATAGATTAAGCCCTCGCGGATGAGTTGCAAAACAAAATTAAACACCTCAGAGAAGCTGTAAAAATACGCAGTATCAGAATATACATCATGGTCAAGGATTGGAGTCATACCATGTCATCATGGCCTCTAATTAAGGGAGCCATGGAAGTGTAATGAAATTCCTGCTCACTCTGAGGAAGGTGAAAGTGCAAAACTATTGAAATTATCTTTCAAGATGAAGAGATATGTTTTCAAAGTACACAATAAAATTGTAATAATGTATCATTCCAATTTCAAACTAAGGAAGTTTACTAAGAGTCTAAGAAACCTAACAAGCCCTTGATTCTCCTATTAGTTTCAATATCCTTCTATGTACCCAAAATGATTCTGAATACCAGAGACAAAGAGCCTTCTACTTTTAAGCAAGGTTTTTCATGACTCAATTAATAGAAGAAACTGATTTTAACCATCTCTTTGAAGTTTTTAATACAATAATAACCAGTTGAGGCAGCAAGCCTCTGGCCATTAACCAGAAAGTCGAATTAAATACTCCTTCTGTCCCATTTTACCTATCTTACTTTACTTTTTAGGTTGTCCCAAAATTAAGTGTCACATTTCCTTTTTTGAAAAGAAATATGTGATCTACAACATTTACTTTTTTCAACCACTTAATTAATAATTGTACCAAACCAAAGTAGGACACATAAAATAGGACGGAGGTAGTAAGATTTTGAGTTATAGCAAACTCTGATAAAGTACAGAAAATTTTAGTATGGTACGAATCAGGGCCGGCCATGGGGCCATTTGACCTAGACAAATGTCTAGGGCCCCAAAGTTTTAGGGGCCTCCAAATTAGACAAAACCTTTAGTATTATATATGTAGTATGTGTAATTAAATTTGATTTCCCCAAATACGATCTATTGAACCACTGAACCAATAAGGACTATACATTTGACACGTATACAACAACAACAACATCCAAGCCTTAGTCCCAAATGATATTGGGGTCGGCTAACATGAATCGATATATGATATCACATTATCACCAAAAGGAAAAGAAAGAAAATAAAGATAAAAAAGATAAGCTATTATAAAAAAAAAGATAATATAAAAGAGATGAATATACATATAAAAGATCAAATAAAAAGGATAAAGTAATATTTATATATAAGGATAAAGATATAAAAGAAAAGGAAAAAAAAGAAGAAGAAGAAGAAAGAAAAAAAAGATGATACATTTGACACGTATACATAACTTTAATAAAATTATAAAAGTTGAAATTTTGCTAGTTAGTTTAAACAGTTACAATTAGGTATGGGTCAATGCTAATTCATTTGGTTATTCTATTTTTACCTTATTGGACTGACACTTGAGGTCAATGCTTTAAAATAATTGAAATACATATGGAATAGTTTTTTTATATGTTGGGAGAATTATACCTCTTATTGTTGTTTTTTAAGACTATAAATTCCTGGTATGTATAATCAATTAGGTCAAGGGAGTAAGATAACACGTGATAAATGTGTTACCCATATCAGATTGTAGTTATGTTATACGGAGTAATAAATTTTGCACTTTAAAAACACTTGATGAATGTGTTACCCAAATTAAAAATACTCACTTTTGCATTTTAAGTGCGTTTTGTGTATGTTTGCAATTAAAAAAATCTTTTAACCTTATGGTGCACTTCAATTGTGCTTTATTTCTCAAATTGTGTGATTTTACTCAATTTATCCGATATTAATTTTTTTTTGACTTTGGTGTTATAGAAATCACATGAATATGATAATATATGTGATATACGTGGTATCAATTTTAAGGGAGTGCTTGCAAAATTTATAAAATGTGCTTTTCACCTTTTGCTTTTAAAAACTGAAATGAGTATTTTCAAGCGGTAGTTTCTGCTTAAATTAAGCATCTAAAACTAAAAGATGAAAGTGGGTGGAAAAGTGTTCTAAACTGTTTTTGACTTTTACTATTATATATAAAAAAAATTATCAAATATTATCAATTTTTACTTTTCAAAAAGAATTTTATTCAAATATTATCAGTTTTTTATATTGACCACTTTCTCAAAAATCACTTTAAAAACACTTTTGAGTAGAAACAATCACAAACATTTCTTAAATACTATGTATATTTTTGTCTAGGCCTCCATATTTCTCAAGACGGCCTTGGTACGAATCAACTAGATAAATTTAACAATATCTATGACTATAAATTTCTTCACTACATTTCACATTTCATGGTGATTCTCGTAAACACAAAACCAAGCCATACAAGCAATTGAAAGAAACAAACGGATGTAGGAAATAAGCATTTTGGGTAAACTCCAAATGTTTTGTTCACAGAGGAAAATTGTAGATATGGTTTATTTACAACAAATCGAGCACTACTACAATAGTTTTGTTTGGTAATATGTCATAAATTGAAAAATTGAACCAACATAGAACAAAGACATACCTGTATGGAAATGAAAGATTGTCAGCTTCCAGTACAGGGATGGTTTCGCGAGGTCATTAATTGTGTGAAGATGAAAAATCCATGTATAACAAAGCAAATACTTATCTGAAAAGTGTAGATAAGATCTGTCGAGTGGATTTTAAAGAGATGATCTGTGGAGTGTTGTAAGATTTGGAATATTTACTGTTCAGTAATTGTGTTTCATAACTCGATGTTAGTTGAATCAGGACATAAGATTAGTTGAGAATAAGTGCTAAGGTTGAAAGTTGAGGAAGCGGTGATGAATACCTGAGCAGATTGAAGAATGGGGGTTGTCGACAGAGGAGGGACGGAGATGCAGAGGATAAATGCAATTTCAGTAAGTTGGAAAAGAGTTGCGTAAGTGGAGTATGCTACTCAAATTTTCTTTTTTTGGTCTAATTTCGTGTGATTTAGTTTGATCTAAAGTCTAAACCCATAAAAGTCGATTTTAAGTCGATTTTGTTTTAGAATACTCCGTATCATTTCCCAAAAAATTATACTCCCTCCATCACTTTTTAGTTTCCCAAACACAAATTTTTAAGTGAAAATTGTTCAACTTTGACCGATTATATATTTATACACGGTAATATTGATAATAAAAAAATTATATGAAAATGTTCTTTGTTGAAAATACTATCATAAAAGTATAAACTTATTAACTTTTACATTCAATTAAAATAATGGATCCAAATTTATCATCTTTGATTGGAAAAGTCAAAGTTGGCAAACTAAAAAGGGACGGAGGTAGTATAATAAAATTGAGTTATAAAAGAATGACGTGCTATTTTAAAAAAAGTGATACATCTCTTATTGATTAAAAATCCTATTATCACTACTATTAAAATATTTAATAAAATGTTTGTTTAATCCATACCATATGCTTGATATAGGGGAAAAAATTAGAAATTAAAAAGTATAACATCAAATTCCTTAATTAAGAATAAATCCACGACATCAGTCATCTCACCTCTTTGTAGGACTTGAAAATTTGCACCGCTCATATCAATATGGGGTTGAAGCGACAAATTATACTGATTTTAAATATTCTAACACTTTGGATTACAGCTACGTCGGAGGAGATAACGTTGACGGATAAACTAGTTGTGGTTGAGAGTTTGTATTGCAACCTTGGTCGGCCGCTCCGACAATACTGGAGTTAGTATTCAATCATATTGCAAGAACTCACCCTCCTCCGGAACCACCTCCGTACCAGGAAGAATTTTGTGGAAAGACTTTATTTCAATATTATTTGCTCTATAATAGTACTTGTTTTTATTTTAGTCCATGCAGATTTGGTTTGGATGGTTGGATGGTTAGGTTTTTGGAGTTTTTTTGATAGGGTTTCAATTCTAGTCGTTTTAGACTTAAATTTGCTTGTTTCAGGGTTTAGCAAGTTAGATTGTTTTGTATGAAGGTGGCTGACTCTATGTCTATTCTCGCGGTTCACGATTGAATCTGTAAAATTTGTCTCAAGATTGTCTTGTATGTGTTCTCGATTTTAATATAAAAGCAGATATTACACATAATATGACTCTCAATCTCTCATACACGGGAATTCTAAGTCAATAATTGTACAATAACAATACTCTGAATGGGACTAACACATGTAATCGACCTTTTTTCTTTTAACATTCGTTACATCCCTTAGATCCCAATAAATAGTCAGTCCTTTTTGTGAAATAAATCATGTTTTATTACAACACTACACATAAAATTTCAAAAGAAAAAATTCTCAGTTTTACAAATTTTGCTATGATCATCGACCAAAGACAAGAGAAAAGACTATCATGTTGGATTGTTGGATTATATTGTCTCATCGCTCTTTTTTTATTTTTTATCCGTCCCAATAGGCCAAATTGTCTTATGCCACTTTTAATAACATTATATTAAGTAGGGCCAATTTTTTCATGTCAGATTTGATAACATGCATGGGATTCTAAACCATTTTTATTTTATTCGTACTCATTATATTAATAATTAGACCACATCCTCATGTACCAAACTTAGGGTTGGTTTGCAACTGATTTTAAAAAAGCACTTCTCAACTTTTGGCTTTAAAAAAGCACTTATTTTCTCAAACACTACAACTTTTATTTTTCTCGACTTCCGCGTCAAAAGTGCTTTTACTTTTTCTATTACACAAAAATCACTTATTTTACCAAACACTACCCACTTTTACTTTTCAAAATCACTTTTTTCTCAAACACTATCAACTTTTATTTAATCACTTCTCTCCATTTCATTAAAAAAACACTTTTTTAAAAGCAGAAGCTGTTGCAAACAGACCCTTAGAGGGATAGAGCTTGACCAAAAAATAACTTAGAGGGATAGAGGTAAAATTATTTAACGTTGATATGGTTTATTTAAATTTGGAATGGTCTGCTGTGATTTGAAATATGTGGAATGGAACAAGTACATGAATATAATCCCTACAATTCAGTGGTTCATGTTTTCTAGAGTAACTTCACTAGTTCACTATAATCTATATTCTATAATAACGAAAGAGAAAAAACACGCCACACACAATCATTGGAGCTATTACCACAAATAATGCATTTATCCACACTTCAAATCCCCGTACCTTTCAACATATTCTTTATCTATGAACACTCCTTTTTTTCAAGAAAAAAAAGGACTTGAGTGGATATACTACTATACCAGCACGAAAGGGTGCAGAAACATTGATAAAGTACCAGTAAAACAAACTTCAATGAGTATATTCAGTAAAACATGAAGAGTGGTAAAACAAAGTTTTTGTTTCCTGTCAAGAAATGGAATGATCAGAAGAGGGCTTTTTCTCTTGTAGAGAAATCACAGTTTCGAAAGCTCCAACCAAAGCCTTAACCTTGCTCTTCTTGCTCTCAACAAGCTTGCTTGCCGTCTCTTCAATCACATTATTGAGTAATACACCCTGCCCATCTTTCTTCACCCCCTCGACTTCTTCATGATGCCTCAAAATCACCTTCCCCGGGCCCATCATATCACTGCTATTTTCTCCACCCTCAACTCTCTTCTTTGAACTTCTCCTCCTTGCATCACCACTCTTGTTCACTTGGTTCCCCCTTGAATCTCTCCCTACCTTCGCAGAACCAGACCTCTTGGTTTCATGTTGGGGACTCACTTCCTTGCTGTTTGCACCTATTTTCTTGTCATCTCCTCCTTTACTGGTTGCAACTCCAGACCTGTCTGTATCATCTTGCTCATGAACAGACTCCACAGCCTTATCTTTTCCCCCATCCGAATTGCTCTCTTGATTTTCCCTCAAAATCTTTCCTTTCCTAAAATTTAATCTCCTTGGACTGTTGATTTCTTGACGGAGATTAACCACGGTTCCTCTCCTAAACTTTAGTTTCACTGGTAAAGAAGTTTCCACTCTAGTAGCAATGAGAGTTCCCCTTCTAGAAGCAATGCTTTGATTTCTTCCAACACTTTTAGCTCCCTTACTGCTTGCAGATATGTTCTTGTTGTCTCCTTTTTCAGAGGACGAGATAATGCGATCATGATGAACAGACTCCATCATATTGTCTTTAACCACCTCCACATTGCCATCTTCTCGCTTTTTCCTCAAAATCCTCCCTTTCCTAAAATTTAGTATCCTCGGACTGTTGATATCTTGATGGAGATTCACCACGGTTCCTTTCCTAAACTTTAGTGTCACTGGTAAAGGAGTTTCCACTCTAGTAGCAATGAGAGTTCCCCTTTTAGAAGCCATGATTTGATTTCTTCCCATGCTTTTAGCTCCCTTAGTGCTTGCAGGTATGTTCTTGCCATCTCTATTTTCAGAGGACGAGATAATGTGATTATGATGGTCAGACTCCGTCATATTGTCTTTAACCACCTCCACATTGGCGTCTTCTCTCTTTTTACTCAAAATCTTTTCCTTGCTGTATTTTAATCTCTTTGGACTATTGTTTTCATTCGCTGTATCACGAATCTTGCCCCTACTAAATTTTGGTTTTACAGATGGTGGAGCATCATCAAGTTTAGGGAGAACTGGCTTCTTGGACTTGGTCAAGGTCTTGCTTGGATTACTTTCTATGTATGAATCTGGAGAGTGTGAAGCAGATGAAGATTCGGGCAACAATAAAGATGATGGTGAAGAAAGCGAAGCAACAATTTCATCATCTTGAGCAGGGTCCACATTTTCCATCTGGACGACATGCAGTGTTTTCTCAGAGACCTTTTCTTCAGCTTCGACATCAGTTTCCCCCATTCTGTTATGGGTCTTTGCTGGTTTTAAGGTCAAACTCACCCGCTTTCTCAGATTTAGTGCTTCCCTGACAGAAGGCTTTGAAGTTGATGAAGCAGTTGGGGCTTTCACAACTATCTTTCTGCTATGTTTGGTGTCCCTAACTCTTTCACAACTGATAATATCACCTTTTCCTCCCGAACCTGGCTTTACACCTTCTAGAGGCTTACAGGAAGATGGTTGTTTTAGTGACTTGGATGGATGGTCTTTTGGTGACATACTTTTTGTTTTCCCTTCCGTCTTTGGTGTCATCTTGTTGCTTGAGGTATCTTGCACTGGTGAAGGATCAACTTCCTCAGGCTGCAAAAAGACTACATCTTTGATTATTTCTGGGGGTGCTTGAGAGTGGGTTTCTTCAGGATCGCAGGCCCCACTCACACTAGTCCCTGACGCCATTGCAGGAATCAGCTTCTGATTCAGAGGTTTTTTGGGTCTTCGTAGCAGAGGACGGATTGGTTTTGGTTCAGAAGAGTGATTCCTTCCGTATTTACAGAAATCATGGCAAGAACCAGTAGAAGCTCTGAGATAGTTGGGAACGATGGTATGATCACTATCAGAACGACAATTTTGTTTCCCAGTAGAGCTTCTTCTTGAGCTTAAGCTACCAGGTGCAAAAACAGAATGCTTAGTACTCAAATGTCCCGTTTCCTTATTGCTGCTTATGATGGGGCTTGTCCTCTCAAGCTCATTCTTTACAAGTGTTTCTGAGGTCAGTGATGAATTGGCAATATCTTCAGCCATCAAACATAAATTGACTCGAGCAAATTCAATTGTCAAGAATCCCTGGAAACATTAGAAAATGTTATCATCTCACGTAAATAGTCATATAGACTTAATAATATACGAAGTATTAGGTATTCCAGCCATTGGATTTTATAATTACAATCCACTCTTGTGGCACATTAAATACATTTGGCAATGACCCAACACTTTGAATATCAGACTGAATAGAACTTTGCAATAAATGATAATAGTCCCTTCCCCTCCATAAGGTTGGGTGGTTAAAACTAGAAAACGGCTTCAAATTAATAGTTACGAACATATAGCCTGGGATTTTAAGAGGGAATCTTGAAGATACAATTTTGAAGTAAATGATCTTTCAGAAAAACAAGCAAGCAATATTCCAATAAGAAGTTAAGAGCATCTTATATAGGATAAGAATATAAAGCAATAAGAATAATGTACATAAGAAAAGGCTCTGATTCTATGCCCTTTTTGTTCGACAATAACTCTTGTTCGCACCCACCCCTCATAGAATAAAAGGTTACTTTACTTAAAAGGTTGCATTATCAATTCAGCAACCAAACAGGGTTCAAAAGTGGCCTATCATATAATAATATTTCTTCGTCACTGTAATTTTGTAGACGACAAATATAGCCAAATAATTTTTTTTGGGTAAATTTGCATGACACACATTTGACTACGAGGCCGTTTGGCAACACTGTTTTTCTACTTATCAGCCAACTTTTTCACCAAACACGTAACTTTTGCTTTTGCACGTTGAATTGTGTAATAAGCAGAAAAAGTAAGGTTGGAGTTACTTTTCTGGTTATGTTGGGTGAAATTACTCTAGATGATCATTTAAGCTATTTTTACATATAATTTTTTCTTCATTTTATTAATAAAATATATTTTAAATATTTTTTTTCTTAAATCAGTAGAATCAGCCAATGAAGCCACTTCAGCCAGAACTTCATAAATTTTAGCAGAATCAGCCAAATCAACCGATTTTCGTGCTACCAAACGGGCTCTACATTACATTCTGTTACTATCTTATCAAATACTCCGTAAAAAATATGAAAACAAAGTCAATATAAATACTCTTCTGTGCCATTTCCTTTTCCCAGACTATGGTTATGGTATGGAGACCTGTGAAAGGAGTCTAGATTGATGAAATTGCGGACTCCAAATTCCTTTTGCAGTTCTATCACGAAGGAGATCTGCACAAAGTTGTGGATGAAGGACCGTGGTCTTTTGAGCAGAATTTAGTGGTTATTAGACGGCTGGAGCGTATCGACAAACCGTTAAAGGTTGCCCTTGATCACGCAGACTTCTGGGTTCAGGTTCATGATTTACCGCTTAGTTATATGACAGCTAGAGCAGCTCGTGGCATAGCCAACAGTATAGGTTCTTTTGTGCAATTGGATGAAAGCTCTTCAGGAGGTAAACAAAGATTGGTTATGCGCATAAGAGTCAATCTGGATGTCACTGTGCCTTTAGTCCGACGCCTACATGTTAGACAGGAGGGAGATGGATGGACTTGGGCAAATTTTAAATATGAAAGACTCCCGAATTTCTGCTTTCTGTGTGGGATCCTTGGCCATGCTGACCGCTTTTGCCCATCCAATCCACATAGCGGGCTGGGGATAGAAGAGAAACCGTATGGGCTGTGGCTAAGAGCTGACATGAGGCGTGGAGGAATGCACCCGGGGAATAGATGGCTCATTCCTAGTAACAATAAACGGGGTGATAGTAAAGGAAGCTTTGGGGAGGGTGACAAAGAAATAAGGGGTCAGGATAGTTATTTGGTGGAGGGCCTTCTGACGAAGGGGAAGGAGACTACTACATCGGGAGATGCACCCAGGAAGCGTCAGGTCACTGGGACTGACAGCGAGATGGGAACACTGGCGAATATGGATGTAGATAACGCGTCTTCAAAAAACTTGGAGGTGACGGTGTTGACTGGACAGCACCGCCAGTAGCGGTAAAGGGCGAAGACTTGAAGGTTGCTCCTTTAGCGGGGGCTGGTCAAACCGCTGCTCCCTTGCCAGTGGCTGGTCAAACTGGATTATGTTATTTTCCCGTTTCTTATTCAGTTCAGAACATTGTTTTGTTTTTTACTTCCCCTCCTAGTAGCAGGTGCAGCATTGCTGCGTATGGAGTCTACCACGTTGCGGGGTTAGCGAGATGGTCTGCTTGTATGCACGAGTCCAGCTCAGAGTCTCACCCCATTATAGCCTTCGTTATGGCAACTTTGTATCTGGCCTACAATTCTATTAAATATTAAGTTATCTGTTTTCAAAAAAAATAAATACTCTTCTGTGCAAAAAGTGTATGGAGTAGCGTAGAATGCTTTATCATTAGATTAGTCCCTATTCCGGGAGAGATGTAGTAAAATAGACGAACTAATTAAGAAATTTTAAAATTGTCTATGCTTGGAAGAAAATGCAAACCTAGACTACCTAGTCATATAGGAAAACAATGTGCCACAAGGCAACGCACAAGACCTCATCCATAAGATAAACAATTCAAAGAAAATGCTAAAATAGTTAAGTGCTCAGACAACGTAGGTACACAACAGCACAAAACAGTTTCCCAATCATGGTTTTAAACACATGATCAACAGTTAAGTATGGCCAAAATGGTAAAAACTGGAGAAGTACTGGAATCCATACAGATTACATTTGGTACACTTTGCAGACAAAAAACTAAAAGTGGTTAAATGGGATGGTCAACTAGAAAAATGAAAATGGCCATAATACAACGAATTCTTTGTGGTACACATGATCCAAATATATAGAGATTTTAGTTTACATGTTATACTGCTTATCATCATAATATTTAGCGTTTGAATTTTTGATTGGGTGAAATAGATGCCACCAAAACTTTTGCTTTCAAAGTATTCAGCAAATTTCAACCACTTCAGACAAATGGCCCCTACCAAACTAGCTCTCACAGTAACAAAGAAAGTTCCCTCCTTGCATCCAGTATACACAGAACTCCATACTTCATAAATCATTAGCATAAATCACAAAACAGAATACCAGTATTCCATGAATAAGAAACAGGAAATTAATGATCAAAACATTGTCAACCTTAACACACAAAAAACTCCGAGAAGAATACGATTCAAACCAAACAGGAGTACCTTTTAACTTTCCCTTTCCAATATGCTGAACGACAACTAAAGAGCAACTGCGATCAGATAATCATCTGGAAATAAAGATCAAGGGAAACTTTGAAGAACCCATATCCCAATGCGGGAAAGGGAAAATCGACAATGTCGAAATCCATGAAAAGATCAAACCCTTTTTCAGTATGATGAAAAGAAAAACAAGATGAAAGAGAGCTTACGTTTCCTGAAGCAGAACCGGCCGTCGAAGGAGGAAATGGAGAATCAGGAAACGTTCGGCGTGATTATCGTTGAGAGATCGCGCAAGATACGGCGGGGAAGAAGGGGGAAATCAAAGAAAGGCCGAAAAGGGGAGGATGATCAGCACCGGAAGTTCGCACCCCGCGGAAGAGTTGTGCTGTCAACATCTTTCGTGGCACTGCCAACAATGAAACCGACTCATTAATTTAATGCAAAGAATGAATTTCGGGACGCTGTTTTGATTTTTGAATAGAATTCTTTTACCGATGATCTTTCTAACGTGTGCTATTCGTCGATCAAGGGGTAAAGTTAGGGGCCTTGTTTGGATGGCCCGCACCAAAGTTTGAAAGACTGTATTTTTTTTTTGAACTATTTGAAAGATGTATTTCTGCCCTTTAAATTGATTATCTTTGATTTTTCACTTTTTTTTAATCATCAGCTAGCCACTTGTATTAATTAATGAAGTCATTAGCCAATTGGCTTACAATAAAGTTCGGAACAACATCAAACACACTCCTATGATCTGAAAGTAAAACATGAATTCTAGCTAGTAAATAAACCACACGATTCGCAGATCGCTTACAAAAAGAGACACTATAGTTGCTCTTTGTTAAAAGAATTTCCCTAATATCTTCCAAAGTTAAATCAATATAGGAGAAGCCTCCTCCCTGCTGAAGGCCTTGGACAACTGAAAGTGCGTCCTTCTCGAATTCCACATTCTGCCAACCAGCTGTAGTCGCCTCCTGTAGTGCGTCTCTCAGCCCAACTGTCTCCATTTCCGCCGGGGACCAACCTGCTCTGGTTGAGACACATCATGCCCTGAAAAATTCTCCCTGATCATCTCTCGCCACCCATCTCCAAGCTCTCTTGTCTCCACTTGGATCCATTGCAGCATCTACATGACTACATTAACTTTATTAAAACCCCTCCCCGGTCTACGTCATACCTGCTCCCCGCCGCTCCCTTTTTTCTTGCTTTTCATGTGCTCTGACCCTTGAGCCTCCTTAGAGCATCTCCAATGCAAGGGTGCATTGGAGTTCCATGTCAGCAAATGCACATTTTGTTGTAAAATGTACTCTCCAATGTCAATGCCAATGGACCTTCAAAATCTGAGTTGGCAAGGGAGAAGGTCCAGCACCAGGTCCACAAATAGACCTTCGGTGCCACCTTCTGACATTCCAGCTAAGCAAGCAACGCAGGTATGTAGCTTTCCCTTCTTCTTTTATTAATATTTCATTTATTTTTTTTTATTTTTCCCTTTCTGCATTGGAGTACACTCCAAATAGACTTTCTCTATTTGCTCTAGACCCACTGCATTGGAGATGCTCTTATACTCGGTGATCATGCTCATAACAGTAGCTATTACCCGGGCCGGCCCCTGCCATTCTTCTTTCCAAATCAAAGAATTACGCCTCTTCCATAAACCCATAATAGAACAACAAATTTGCTCTTTTGGTCATTATCTTTGATTTTTCAATTAATAAATAATGCAAAATTTCGACACATGATGTTTCTTTTTAAAAATATTATCGTAACAGTATAAGATTTATAATCATTTTAAAAATATATTAGTTAAAATGTTTGATTAAATTTACCACCATTGTCAATAAGAACTAAGCTAATTAAAAACGGATGGATAGCATGTTACACTGTATATGTAACTATTAAGAAATAAATCAAATAATAATTGATACGGAGTACTAATTATTTCATCCGTGCAACCAGTTAATTTCCATGTTCCGTAAGAATTAGACAACCAATTATTGTTGAGTTTTTTTATACATGCTTATGAACAAAAATATAGTAAATGGTCCTTTTATAAAATATTAATCATTATTGAATAAAAATAAAAATAAAACTAGCTAATAGATAGGAAGAAAACTGAATCCCTTTTGTTGGAATATGAATCCTTTTTTTATTATACTTAAAATGAGGATATCAAATGTTTTTTAGTGTAGGATATCAAATGTTGAAAAAGTCAAAAACTATTCAGTACTAATTCCAATCAACAAAAATTTGCAATTAAAATCATAGATTTTGATGTGTGAGGATAAACAAGCTTTTATATCTTCCAATCATTATCTAATTAAGGTCTTGTAACTTTCTTATTTGAAACTTTCCTATTTGAAAGTGTTACAATACTACCGTCCAACAATAAGGTACCTGACACCAACATAGTAACTTCTTAAATACATATTTTGTAAATGTTTGATCTTGAATTGAGGTCAGAAAAACTTATTTTACATTTGGTCTAATTTGTTTTTTGGAGTAAAACAAATCCAAGTGAAAACATATTTGAAAATAGAATTATTAGTTTTTAAATAAAAACTAATAGAATTACTAGTTGATTAATGATAGCTTGATAGGATCAGCATTTTGTTTAGTACAAAATGAAATACTCCGTAATTCTTAAGATTATCCCTTATTTTTAGGCATTGGGATTTGGGAACGTGTTTTAGGTAGTGACATGTAACGACTATTCTGAAAATCCTCATCTCAACTTCGCAGACTCCGCCTTGTTGTTACTTGTAAGACCTTTCTTGTAATTTTTTAAGTAATTAATAAACAATACTCGTACTACGTAATAACTTAAATAAAATAAAAACCTAGAAGGTGCCGTTTTGACTTTCTAGTTTCTATGCTCAAATGCTCAACAAACTAATATAAAAAGCTACTCATGAAACATGCATTTTCGGTGATTTGGCCGGTCAAGTAATTAAAGTTGGCCAAATCAAAGGTATTTACCAAATACAGTCAACATCTCAATGCAAAAACCATGAAAAATAAAATTGCTTTAAGAAAAAATATTTACTCTGAAAAGAGGAAATCATATATATTGAGCTCAAGGTCCCACTTAAAAAACTTATGTGTGAATTTATGCTTTTATATCTTTGACCAGTGGAATGAGTGAATGACTTACCATACTCAAGTACTCAACAATATAATAACTTAATAAAACAGTCAAGTCTTGCAATTCTGAAATGCGTGTGATACATATTGAAATTAAAGTTGAAATTTTATCCTAAAAGACCAATGTTCTGTGTGTCAATTTGTATATTTATATTTAGCTGGTTTGGGTTTGTTTAACATGCTTTCAAGATGCATACAAATCTTAAAGTCTATACAATTATTATTAAAATTTAACAAGATCAGTTTGTGTTAATTCTCTCTAGTCTGATGACTAAATGGTCAATCAAATACGAACCATTTAGAACTATGTACATCCTCCCCATCTCATTCTAAAATTTGTTACACTTCACCTTTTTCATTATCATACTTTTCAATCTTTGCTCCTACTTTTCTATACTTTTGTTACCCCTACTATTTTACCATTAAACTTTGTATTAAAAAAAATGCAATAAACAAAAGAGTATGGGAGTATGGGAGTATGACAATTTGTATTTTTAATATTTAGTCAATGTGGGATTGCTTGGCATAATGCCATAATGTACAAGAATTCAAAATAAAGAAGAAAAATAGCTTTATCAAGAAAAAATATGCTCAGCGACTCAGCGTGCTTTCAATGGGAGTTTGAGAGGAAAGAAACTAGGAGGAATACAAATCCCAAAGACATTCTGGAGTTTGGGGGAGGAGAAAAAGAGAGGAATATTTCGAAAACTTTTTATCTCCTTAGCTACGGTAATTGGGCAGGAATAGAAAGGAAATAAACAATAATTCAGTTATTGCTTGTCTTTTACTCCGTAAGTTTTAACCTTTTTTTTATCGTATTGAAAACTTTAATTCCCCTTTTTTCTTCTAGTTCTATGAAAGTATGAAACCATTTATATTCCTCTTTTATCTCTCCCCTGCTTTTTCTCTTCTACCTCCTCTCATACTTCTCCTTTTTCCAAAACATGACTTCAAATCCAAACACTGGAAATTTATGTGAGAAAACCAGGAAAAAAGGAAGCAAATGGAACCAAAATCAATAATGTTACCCATGTAAGACCAAAAAAACAACCAAAATTGTTGCAGAACCTACACCCTTGTTTTGTTCAAGTGGGGAGGGAGTATATAGAAAGAAGGGTTGGACAAATAAGGGGTAAATCAAGAAGAATAAGGACCACATCTACCTGATTAAACATGAATTAATCATGTACATCAGTCACTGGCATGAACTTCACCAGCACCATACTCTCACAAGCACTACAGAGTAATAAAGACACGATAAAGTATAAGTTTGAACATAAGCACACAGCCAATAAGCTTTACCGGGCACAAATGGCCACAAACAGTCCTGCATACACTACTGAAATGCTGTTCTTTGACAAAGTAGAAGGCATCAAGCATCTCATCAGGTAATGATTTCTCTGACCAGCCAATCCAAGCTCGGATATGCAAAGTACAAGATTAGAACGGATGGAAGAGCAAACAAAACGGTGATAAGCATATACAAAGCCAATATTGCTGCACTGGCGGGTATAGCATACAAGAGGATCAGAAGGAATATAATCACCAGGGGGAACTTGGCTGTCAGATGAACAAAGAAGATAAGTGATTTCCTAATCGATGATTGTAGTCTCTCAAGAGCAAGGAAACCATCAAAATGACTTTGATCATGGCTTGATCCTGTCGATTCTGAGATGTGAGTGTGTGGGGCATTCCGGGAAATAGGCTCCATAGCAGAATTCCCTGATGATATCCTCCTACTAGATGGCCAGGCTGGCTGATTATCATCACAGGAGGTAGAACGGGACACTCTCCTATCACCGTTCATGCTCTCAAGCATCCACAGAAGAAAAAAGTTCTTTCGAGGGAACTTCAGGTTTCCCCTATAAACTAAACGCAAGGATAACAGATTGCACCACGGACATGCTATGAAGAGTGGGAGTTGGATGGGTAAAGAAGGACACTTCACAACAGCCCATTGTAATCCGAGGATGCAGTTTTTACAGAGTGTATGGCCACACCATAAAACATAGGGGATATTTTCAACGATGTTGAAGGATTCACAGCATATTGGGCACTCCAGTCCCTCATCTCTACTTGTGATTGATGAACCTTCATCATCTTCAGAGCAATCTGCATCCTCATTGGGCTTCCGAAGATCTTCCCTCGACCTTGTATTCCCAGCTGTACAGTTGGATGCAAAGTTCCACATCGTCCGCCAAAGTACTTTTTCCTAGAAAGAACACCGAAAAATGAAGTCATATGAAAAAATGATTAGTATTCCCAGTTGAAAAACTCCACACCATCCATCAAAGTATTTTTCTAGAAAGGACACTGAAAATACAGTTATATGAAAAAAAATGGGAATAGTTGGAGGGTTTAAAAAACACAAGGTGGTAAACAACCGTGAACTGAAACAGATGCAATTCTTCTCGCTTCATGTGTACGGATAACATGTAATAGAATGGAGATCCATCAGAACCTATCAAGGGCAGTGCTGTATAATAGCTACCTTCCTATTGAATATAAAATATATATGGAGTATGTGAGCTAACAAAGTATGAATCATGCAACTACCACACAGCATGGCTACGAGCTGCAAACACACAAAGTCAATATCTAAATCCAATCCATAAGCAATCTGGCTTTTTCCTAGGAGAAAATCTTAAGCTACCTGGTTTTAGTTTCAAAAATCGAAATGTAAGGTATATCAAATGCCTCGTGGTCGTCAACGGCAGAGCTAAAATCAGCCTAAAAATACATACATCATCGGCAAAAAGGGGAAAACATAATAAATTAACGCTGACGCTCATCTGATCGAGCACGTTAGTGCCGTAAATTCATTTTTTCGCAATCGATCTACTGAATCGATAATAGAAGGTTCAGACCGTCGAATTGAGATTTCCTAACCTGATTGATTCTGCAGGCGCGTGGGCGGGCGTTTGAGGGTGAGGGCAGGAAGGTTTGCACTTCTGCAATGCGAACAGATCTGTGCGGTGCAGATAGCCTGGGTCAGCCCACGCTACATTTCGGTCTGAGATCTTGAACCATTGAACCACGAACACCTTGTGGGGCACTGGTAAACGAGAAACAGACCTTGTTCTGTTGTCCAGCTTAAGAAACAACGATTAAACAGTTATTCTTAGAGGACCTCGTTATTCTTACAATCTTTCTCCATACTTATAAGTCGCCCAATAGTTGGTAAATACTTTTTATTTCCGTAATTAATTAATTAATTAACATTAATTCGAAAAAAAACTCAAAACTATGCACATTCTGCTTCATGGCAATTCATTTACAAAGAAGTTATTGCATTTCGCGTGTAAAAAAAATGTAACTCACGTTGATAAGAAATGTAACTGTACCCAAGTCAAAATGTAAATTGCCTAATATAGAGTATAAGAAAAACATTGATTTCAATGTAAACAATGAAAACGAGAAGTCTAATAGCTCAATTACTTTACATAAATAGTTAATATGTTTTGTTTTTAATATGAAGGCTATAAAAAATATTTTTTTAAAAATCATTCTTTTTGCCAAAAAAATGTTTTTTCAATAGGAGGAGTTTATTTTGCAAGATGTAAGTAGTTGAGACAAGTCCAAATGTGACTCGCCATTGGAAAATGCAACTCACGCAAAAAAAGATATAACTCACGCATAAAAACACGTGATTCCACATACTGTCAATTGTAAACAGTGAAAACAAGAAGTGTAATTGCTCAGTTAATTTATGTAAATAGTGAATATGTTTTTTTAATATTAATGCCATAAAATGTTTTAATTTTCTTTTTTCTTGCCAAAAACATACAGAGTATTTTTTTTGCCATAACGAATATTTTTTGCCAATAAAAATCATTCTTTTTTTGCAAAAAAAAATGATTTTTTATGTTTTAATAGCATGTGTTTATTTTGTGATATAACTCGTGTTATGGAAAATGTAACCCGTATTGATGGAAAATGTAACTTGTTGAGGCAACTCATAATGTAACTCACACATAGGAAAAGGTAATTCGCGCACAAGAAGATGTAACTTTATATACTATATATTAAATGTAGCTCCAGACACTGTCTATAAACATAACTCACATATGTGGAAATGTGAACCACACATATGATGACGTAATCTCATATTTTATCAAATGTAAATCGAAATAAACAAATTTATTGTCTTAAAAACACTAAAACATACAAAAGATATAAGAAATATATTATATGAATATGTATGAATATGAACAAATATATTACAAAAAAAAGTGTATAATACAAAAAATATTACAGAACTAAAAATAGTGTATGAATATGAAATATAATATACTTACTTTATTTAGATTAATATTACAAAAAGTGTATAAAACAAAAAAAAAACATTACAAAAAAAGTGTATAGTACAAAAAGTATTACAGAAATAAAAATAGTCTATGAATTTCAAATGTAATATACTTATTTTACCAGATTAGTAGTGTTTTGTTATGAATTGACAAAGCAAAAAGAAATAGACTGAGTTGTAATTTAAGTTGAAGATGAATAAAAGTAAAAATCTAATTACATTTTGAGTATTTGATGGAGAAGAAAGTAAGAATTGCAGAAAAGAAAAAGAATGGAAAAGGAAATACATGTACAGGGAAGCAAAACAAAGGAGTAGTGAGATCGGACGATCGGTACACCATGTGCATGGTGTGCCAATCTCACAGTATATTTGGCATAATGAATTGATAAAGTGTAAATAAAGTATGAATGAAACAGGACGGGTTTAATTCATCAGCTATTGTCGGGTGTGTTTCGGAAAATAAAGAAGATTAATTAAAATAAATTAATTTAAATGACGAAAGAAAACAGAATTAAGATAGAGCAGAAATTAGTCAAAGCTCGTGCTACGCACGATGCCCTTAAAACATATTTGTTGCCTCCCACAGTGCTAGGAGCGTTGCAACAATCGTTTCCCAGGATACGATGACTTCGAACTAATGTTTGAGCACACAAACAAGAGTTCCAGCGAACGAGAACACAGTATGAACACTTAGGAAATTTTCGGAATGCTGGAAGTGTTTTAGAGCTCAGAAATACGTGAGGAATGTGTATGAACGTGTGTTGTTGCAAACCACCTGCCAACCTTTATATAAGAGGATTTGTTGTGTGTAAATGGTGAATTAATGGACCTGAACGTTGGACATCAATGACCAGTCCGTTGGGCATTGAATCGTCCATGAACTGTCCCATTTAACGCTGCATTAAAAGATAAGAACGTTGGACATTTATTGTTGTAACTTGTAATGGTTCAGAACGTCTAGCTACGCGACCAGAAGACCTTCCAACAGAACACTCTACTAGGGGTTCTGTCCGAAGCCAACAGAACACCCCTTCGAGAGGTTCTGTCCGACGCCAACAGAACACCCCTTCTAGGGGTTCTATCCGACGCCAACAGAACACCATAACACCATACCGAGGTGTTCTGGTCGAGGCCTTCTGTCCGGAGCATTTCTGCCGCTAGGCACTTCATTCACTGGGAAAAAATAAACGTTTCGGGAAGAAAACAAAAATTAATCGTATCTCTTGAGAGATAGATTTTTGGACGACATTTGTGTCCGCAGGTTGCCCGCGCACGCAAGTCGCGGTTTTTCTTCTCCGATTTCGGGATTTGATTTGCACCCCCCCTGCGCGCGTGGAGAGATTTGCACCCCCCTTGCGCGTGTGGAGAGAGCCTTTATCCTTAGGAATCTTAACTCCTTAAGGAGGGAGTCCCTTTATAAAGGGTTGCAAATCCCTTGGATTTTCTGGTGTGGGAAAGAAATAACACACTAGAAACTCATCCTTTTTCTCAGTTTTTCCATTCTAACGAGTAAATTTCGAGGATCAATTTCTCATTCACCCGTTATCCGTTTTGAGCGTACCATATATCGAATTGTAGCCCTTAACAAGGACAATCCGAAACTACTTTGACCCGACCCAAATCGGAAGTGGACCCCACTCAAAAAAATTGCCCCAAAATTATCATTTAATGCAATTTTTCACACAATTTTCCAATAGCTATTTCAAATATGATATAAGACAAACTCAATGAGACGAACAAAAAGGTAAAACAAGATAAAGTTAAGAAAAGGAGGGAGTGTCATTTATGATTTTTTTTTTTGTATTTTCCAACCGCTATTTTAGTTGTGCAGCGAGACGAGTTTAATGGCTGTGCATTAACCGGGTCGGACCGTATTTTAGACCTGAACCGGACCGGAATGGACCGGTCCGGACCGGACCGGTATAAACCGGTCCGGGTTTCGGTCCTTAGTTTTGTAAGATTCCGGGTTCCGGTCCGGTCCGGGTCAAACCCGGAAAAAACAGGTCCGGACCGGAATGGACCGGTAACCTATTTTCCCGCAAAATATATACTTGGTTTTGTATCATTAGTCATTATGTTTATGACTTATTTTTGTCTTTTATTATGTAAATGAATATATACGGAGTGTATATTTGGTGTATAATTATTTCCTAAGTTGTTTTTTATTTATTTAGTTATGTGTTTTTTCTGCTTTTTATTTGTTTCTTTATTTGCAGGTGCACATGTAGTTTATATGTAGTATATTTTTGGACTTAATTTAGTTTTTTATTACTTTATAATAGATTTTGCATTTTAATATACACAAAAGATTGTAGTTTTAATTATTGTGGGAAACTAATTGTTATGATTGAATAGTTTTGATAACTATATTCCAAAAATAATAAATGAGCTAGATAAACAATTATTTAGTCTATTTAGCATATCCGCACATAAAATTATAATTTAGAACTACAACATCCAAGTCTTATTCCTAAAAAAATTTGGGGCCAACTAAGAACACTCTAAGATAATATTTATTTTTTAAAACCGGGTCAATTAGGGTCAAAACCGGACCGGACCGGAAAATTCAGGTCCGGACCGGTCCGGACCGGTTAGATTCAGGTCCGGTCTTCGGTCCAAAGAAAATGATGATTCCGGTTCCGGTCCTAACCGGTTCCGGTCCGGTCCGGTCCGGTTTTGGACCGGTGCACACCCCTAATTATCATCAGCTAGCATTCCACTTTCACCAATTTTCATCCAACACCATACGAATATTTTATAATCAAACATTAGACTTTAGTTTAATTTGTTCTTCTAAACATAACATTGATGCAATCAACCTTACAATTGTCATCTCGGAAAGCAAAAATCATCCAAACCTTTGAAATAGGAAAAGGGAGAACAAGAACATACATTACTAAAGTAAATTGAAAACCAGGCCTGATATGTGAAAATTATGTGCCACTATATAAAAGATAAATATATACATACAAAAGAGTTTAAACAAACTGGTTAACATTAGGTTGCCTATGTGGCATTTCTATTTTTAACTTTCTGGAGTTAATCAGTAAAGAGAACCAATTATTTATCAAATAATTACTCGAATGTTTAAGGGGAAAATAATTAAAATACCCCAAACTTTGAAGGGGTGTGAGGTAAGCACCCCAAACTTGCATATGTAGTTTAAATATCTCAAACTTTATATAAAAAGTTATTTTACCACCAATGTCATGTATTATTTCTTTCAAAAATGTTAATTTTTGGTGATGATTTTATAATTTAAATATTTTAGCATTCATGAATATACAATTAACATTCTAAACTTTCATTGTAAATTAAATAATTTTAGGCCCCACTCTATATAATTGCAACATTTTCAATTTGCTATTTTAAATGAGGCAATTAACATCATAAATTTACATTTTTGAAGGAAATAGTGCATGCCCATGGTGTTAAAATAACTTTTCATTTAAAATTTGGGGTATTTAAATTACATATGGAAGTTTGGGGTATTTAAATTACATATGAAAGTTTGGGGTGTTTATCTCACACCCTTTCAAAGTTTGGGGTATTTTAATTATTTTCCCCGATGTTTAAATGGCCAGGTTTGGTGACAATGATTTTTCATATGAAAAATGAAAACGACAATCCAAAGCGATGCATGTTTTGATTTATGAAGGTGCACATTTATAGTTTATTTAACAAAGAAGGCTTATATTATACTACGTATCATCTGAAGCTCGCAGAACATTCGTGAGACGAGTACTCCCATTTCGATTACAAGTCCTCAGATTAGACATAGAATTATATGTGCTACAAGCATAACAACTCGCTAACCATTCAACGGGTAACTTGA